CAATCCCTCCTTTTTTGAAGGGCCCGTCTCTGGTTTTGACTAGAGGCCTGATTCCCAGCCTGCAGGTTTGTAACCCTTTATAAGAAATGAAGTCAGCCTGGCATGGTGGCTCACGCCTGCAATCCCAGCACTTTGGGAGGCTGGGGCAAGAGGATCACTTGAGCCCAGGAGTTCAAGATCAGCCTCGGCAACGTAGTGAGACCCCTGTCTCTACAAATTTTTTTTTTTTTTTTTTTTTTGAAACGGAGTTTCGCTCTTGTTACCCAGGCTGGAGTGCAATGGCGCAATCTCGGCTCACCGCAACCTCCTCCTCCTGGGTTCAGGCAATTCTCCTGCCTCAGCCTACCGAGTAGCTGGGATTACAGGCATGTGCCACCATGCCCAGCTAATTTTTTGTATTTTTAGTAGAGACAAGGTTTCACCGTGTTGACCAGGATGGTCTCGATTTCTTGACCTTGTGATCCACCCGCCTCGGCCTCCCAAAGTGCTGGGATTACAAGCTTGAGCCATCACGCCCGGCCCTACAAAAAATTTTAAAAAAAATTATCCAGCCTCTAATCACATGGTGAAACCCCGTCTCTACTAAAAAGACAAAAAATTAGCTGGGCATGGTGGTGTGTGCCTGTAATCCCAGCTACTCAGGAGGCTGAGGCAGGAGAATTGCCTGAACCCAGGAGGCGGAGGTTGCGGTGAGCCGAGATCGCGCCATTGCACTCCAGCCTGGGTAACAAGAGCGAAACTCCGTCTCAAAAAAAAATGAAATAAAATAAAATAAAAAAAATAAAAAATAAATAAAAAATTATCCAGGTGTGGTGGTGTGAGCCTGTGGTCATGGTGTCTGGCCTGATTTTTATAAAGATAGTTTTATTTTAATTACAAGAGTAGTTTTTTAGTAAGACGTGGTGGCTCACCCCTGTAATTCTAGCACTTTGGGAGGCTAAGGCAGGCAGATGGCTTCAGGCCAGGAGTTTGAGACCAGCCTGGCCAACATGGCAAAACCACATCTCTACTAAAAATACAAAAAGTTAGCTGGGCGTGGTGGCATATACCTATAGTCCCAGTTACTTCAGAGTCTGAATTGCTTGAGTCCAGGAGGTCAAGGCTGCAGTGATCTGAGATTGAGTCACTGCACTCCAGCCTGGAGGAGGACAAAGTGAGACCTGTCTCAAAAAAAAAAAAAAAAAAAAAAGGAAAAAGCAAGAAAGAAAAAAGGAAAAAAAAAGTAGTGTTTGGAAAGATAACAAATATGGAAGCAAAAGGAATAATGTGTATCTGCAAGAGGAAAAAGAATTCTGAGGTATGCTTTGTTATGTTAACTAAAGAAAAATCAGGCTTTTAAATATTTAAAGTTAGTTCTATTCAGAAGTCTTATGAGAACTGCAACCCAAGAGCCTTTCAGGGAGTTTCTGCTAGACTGCTCCAAAACAGTGTTTCCCACACAGCTTATACGCTGGTGGTGGCGGCACTCCATCTGCTCAGAAGTTACATTAGAGGAAAATCTCATCAAGGTTTGGGTGTGACAGTACACCTGGTTATAGGTTACAGAAGCATAATCATTAATCCTGTCAGACAGTATCTTAGGTATAGGAAGAGGCAAGTGCTAGGATCATTGAATTTATCTTTTCTAAAAGTGTAGTGATCCGGCTGGGCGCGGTGGCTCAAGCCTGTAATCCCAGCACTTTGGGAGGCCAAGGCGGGTGGATCACGAGGTCAAGAGTTCGAGACCATCCTGGTCAACATGGTGAAACCCAGTCTCTACTAAAAAAAAAAAAAAATACAAAAAAATTAGCTGGGCATGGCGACACGTGCCTGTTATCCCAGCTACTCAGGAGGCTGAGGCAGGAGAATTGCCTGAACCCAGGAGGCGGAGGTTGCGGTGAGCCGAGATCGTGCCATTGCACTCCAGCCTGGGTAATAAGAGCGAAACTCCATCTCAAAAAAAGAAAGAAAGAAAGAAAGAAAGAAAGAAAGAAAGAAATTGTGGAAATAGGCCGGGCGCGGTGGCTCAAGCCTGTAATCCCAGCACTTTGGGAGGCCGAGGCGGGTGGATCACAAGGTCGAGAGATCGAGACCATCCTGGTCAACATGGTGAAACCCCGTCTCTACTAAAAATACAAAAAAATTAGCTGGGCATGGTGGCACGTGCCTGTAATCCCAGCTACTCAGGAGGCTGAGGCAGGAGAATTGCCTGAACCCAGGAGGCGGAGGTTGCGGTGAGCCGAGATCGCGCCATTGCACTCCAGCCTGGGTAACAAGAGCGAAACTCCGTCTCAAAAAAAAAAAAAAAAAAAAAAAAAAAGAAATTGTGGAAATAAACAACACAAGACAAGACACAGAGGGGCTGGGCGCGGTGGCTCACGCCTGTAATCCCAGCACTTTGGGAGGCCGAGGTGGGTGGATCACGAGGTCAAGAGATCGTCAACAAGAGCGAAACTCCTTTCCCAAAAAACAAAAACAAAAACAAAAAAAACGTGTAGTGATCCAGGCAAGAGATGGGAGCCTGTGCTCTATTCTGCTTATTATCTTCAGGGCATTTTTCCAGAGGGCTGTGCTCTGGATTCACTGAGCTAGGGGCTTTGTGAAATTCTCCTGGCAATCAGAATGAGGATTTTTTTTTGCGACAGAGTCTTGCTTTGTCGCCCAGGATGGAGTGTAACAGTATGATCTTGGCTCGCTGCACCCTCTGCCTCCTGGGTTCAAGCAATTCTCCTGCCTCAGCCTCCTGAATAGCTGGTATTACAGATGCATGCCATGCCTGGCTAATTTTTGTATTTTTAGGAGAGATGGGTGTCACCATGTTGGTCAGGCTGGTCTCCACCCACCTCGGCCTCCCAAAGTGCTGGGCTTAGAGCGTGGCTTCTTATGTTTGCTACTTTGTCAAACAGTTATTTCAAGAGTAACTTTTTTTGCAAAACTTTAAAAATCTGCTTGAAAATAATACAGAAATGTAAAAATGAAAAAATGATAGCCTCCTTTCTCTTCCCCTCAATCTTTTTTTTTTTTTTTTTTTTTTTTTTTTAATGGAGTCTTGCTCCGTTGCCCAGGCTGGAGTGCAGTGGCACAATCTCAGTTTACTGCAACTTCTTCTCCCTCCCAGGTTCAAGCGATTCTTGTGCCTCAGCCTCTTGAGTAGCTGGAATTACAGGTGCATGCCACAGTGTCCTGCTGATTTTTGTATTTGTTTTTTCTTCTTTTTTTGAGACAGAGTCTCACTCTGTCACCCAGGCTGGAGTGTAGTGGTGTGATCTCGGCTCACTGTAACCTCCACCTCCCAGGTCCAAAACGACTCTCTGCCTCAGCCTCCTGAGTAGCTGGGATTACAGGCACCTGCCACAACACCAGGCTAATTTTTGTATTTTTAGCAGAGACAGGGTTTCTCCATATTAGCCAGGCTGGTCTCAAACTCCTGGCCTCAGTGATCCACCTGCCTGGGCCTCCCAAAGTGCTGTGATTATAGGCATGAGCCACCGTGCCTGGCTGATTTTTGTATTTTTCTGGAGACAGGATTTCGGTCACGCTGTCTCGAACTCCTGACTTCAGATGATCCATCTACCTCGGCCCCCCAAAGTGCTGGGATTACAGGCGTGAGCCGCCTCACCTGGCCCCAGCTAAAATCTTATTAAAGGACAAGGAACCTATAGAATACTATTAAAGGTTAAAATATTAATGAATGGAAAGAACTACATTTATCGTGTAGTGTGTGGTTCAGATCTCAACTATCAGCTGTGCCTCTTTCTGAGAGGGTCCTCAGCAGAAGGCAGGCTGCCTCACCCAATGTTAACTATTTCCTACTCCAAAGGTCATCTGGCACCCTCCCTGTTACTACCACTCCTTTCAGAGGTAATTACCATTCTGACTTGTGTTGCTATAGATCAATCTCACTCATTTTAAAACTTCATATAAACTGAATCATTCAATATGTACTTTTTTATTGAGATTGTGTCTCCCTTTATCTCCCAGGCTGGAGTGCAGTGGCACCGTCTCGGCTCATTACAACCTCTACCTCCTGGGTTCAAGTGATTCTCTGGCCTCAACCTTCCAAGTAGCTGGGATTACAGGTGCCTGCCACCATGTCTGGCTAATTTTTGTATTTTTAGTAAAGATGAGGTTTCATCATGTTGGCCAGGCTGGTCTCAAACTCCTGACCTGAAGTGATCCATCTACCTTGGCCTCCCAAAGTGCTGGGATTACAGGCCTGGTGAGCCACCTCCTGGACCCCTGAAACTATTTTTCACAAGTCACCTGTCTCAAAGTTTACAGTGTGTTCCTCCAGATTGCGTGTGTGTGTGTGTGTGTGTGTGTGTGTGTGGTCTGTTAGGAAAGGCATTTTTTTGTTTTGTTTTAGTTTTCTAAAGAAGGAGTTATTTCACGAATTAAGTTGCTCCTTTTGGCTTACTAATATAGTTTTCTTAAACCAGGTCAACCAGCTGAATCTAGTTTTTTTTTTGGCGATGGAGCCTTGCTTTTGTTGCCCAGGCTGGAGTGCAGTGGCATGATCTCGGCTCACTGCAACCTCCACCTCCCAGCGATTCCACCTCCCCACCTTCAAGCGATTCTCCTGCCTCAGCCTCCCAAGCAGCTGGGATTACAAGCATGTGCCACCAAGCCCCACTAATTTTTGTATTTTTAGTAGAGGCCGGGTTTCACCATGTTGGCCAGGCTGGTCACAAACTCCTGGCCTCAAGTGATCCACCTGCCTGGGCCTCCCAAAGTGTTGGGATTACAGGCGTGAGCCACGGCTCCCGGCCTCTACTTCATTCTTTTAAATAGAAAACTGGCCGGGCGCAAAACTGGCCAACATGGAGAGACCTTGTCTCTTCTAAAAATACAAACAGCCAGACGTAGTGATACATGCCTGTAATCCCAGCTACTCGGAAAGCTGAGGCAGGAGAATTGCTTCAACTTGGGAGGCAGAGGTTGCAGTGAGCCGAGATCGTGCCACTGCACTCCAGCCTGGGCAACAGAGCGAGACCTGTCTCAGGAAATAATAAATAGAAAAAACTGACTTTCAGCACCGCCTTGTGGTCCCAGGTTAAGATTTCACACTGGTATTTTAAGCCCTGGGGCTCAGATCTGCGGACACGCTGTGGCTGCGGCCCCGGCCCGCCAGACCACGGGAGTACGCAGCGCGGTTGGTGAGAAACATCGCGCACTCTGACTTCCACCCCTGGAAGGGGGAAATGGACTGCACAGTTGGCGGACCCGCGTGGGCTAATGGACCGCAGGTGGACTGATGGCTCAGGGACCGGCAGCAACGCGTATAAAACCAGCCAGCCAGCTAGCCAGAGCCAGGCCAGCACGGTAGACACAGCCCGCTCCCGCCAGGAGGCGGCCGAGCGCCAACTCTACGGTACTGCGCCTGCGCCCAGAACGCCAACGTGTCCACTCTACGCCTGCGCGGCAGTTTTGGGCCTGCTGGAGCTGGAAAATGGCGGCGTCCGTAGTCTGCCGGGTCGCTGGCACCCGGGCACAAGTGCTGCTGCGCACCAGCCGCTGGGTGAGGTGGTGAGAGCGCGGAGCTTCAGGAGACAGGGCTTCGGGAAGCGGACGGGTGCGGGCGGTTGGCAGTGCCAGGTCGAGGTGGGGAGGACGCGGGGTCAGGGCCGTGGGAAGGTCACGGCGGAGGGCGGGGAAAGGTGTCTCGCCGCTGGCCTGGGGGCGGGGACAGGGGTCCTCCTGAGGACCTGGTGGGTGAGGAGCGATCCCCCATCCCAGTCCTCACTCGCAGCTGTTCCCTTCCACAGCCGGCCCTGCTGCGGACGCCAGCCTTGCGGAGTACAGCAACCTTCGCTCAGGCCCTCCAGTTTGTGCCGGAGACGCAGGTTAGCAAACTGGACAACGGCCTGCGTGTGGCCTCGGAGCAGTCCTCCCAGCCCACTTGTACGGTGAGTTGGGGACGCCATTGCGGGGGGGCCTCCAGATTGGGCCTGCCGTCTTTTCCCAGGTTGGGGTGTGACCTTGGCTTCGAGCTATGGTTTGGGTTCGGACTCGGGCTCACTCACTCCATTCCCGACCCCTAGCGAAGCCTTGGCTTCACGGGACAATCTTCACTATAAGCCGAACGTTATTTAGCATATAATGCCCATCAGTAGGCGGTAGGCGGCCAAATTCTTCTCCAACCTTTTGTTAAGGAGCCCATATAAAAGAAGTGATCACCTCTCCTTTTACAATTCGGAAAATGGGATTCAGAGACCTTAGGTGACTTGCAGGGGTCCAGGTCTGTCATCCCCACTACCCAAGGTCATAATCTCCAGGCTAGACCAGAAATGCATTTTAGGGGGGAAATGCATTTGAAGAGTACAGTGAAATGTGTGATTTTCCAAAAAATACACATTCTCAAAATTGACTCAAGGATAGAAATCTTGACTCACAGATCAAATAGATACGTGAATAGGTGAGAAGATTCCCAATAAATAATTATCTTCTCCTTCCTTCACCCCCCAGCCCCCAGCTCCAAGGCCAAATTTTTTTTTTTTTTTTTTTTTTTGGAGACAGAGTTTTGCTCTTGGTACCCAGGCTGGAGTGCAATGGCCCGATCTCGGCTCACCGCAACCTCCGCCACCTGGGTTCAGGCAATTCTTCAGCCTCAGCCTCCCGAGTAGCTGGGATTACAGGCACGCACCACTATGCCCAGCTAATTTTTTGTATTTTTAGTAGAGACGGGGTTTCACCATGTTGACCAGGATGGTCTCGATCTCTTGATCTCATGATCCACCCGCCTCGGCCTCCCAAAGTGGTGGGATTACAGGCTTGAGCCACCGCGCCCGGCCCCCAAATGTTTTTATTGACACATCCTTTTAGTTTTCCAGAAACAACCTCCGGCGATGTAAGTTGTTACTAAGCATAGGAAAAGGTGACCTGCAACTTCCTTGTTACGTGGCACCTGTTGTAGTAAAGAATGCTGTATTACATGGACTCTAAAATGTGCTAGATTGTAAGGAGCCCTCTGTGCTCCAGTGCCAGAGAAAGAATCTTAAGAATCTTGCCAATTTTAATCAAAGGATACTATAGGTTGTAAAATGCATCTTACATTCCAATATGTTAGATGTAAAATACATGTTATCTAAGATTGTGTGACATCTGGTATATGCATTGATACTTCTTAGGAAAGCAGATATCACATGTTCTCACTTAGCAGCGGGAGCTAAAAAAAATGTGTACACACAGATGTAGAGAGTGGAATGATGGACAGTGAAGACTTGGAAGGATGAAGGGGTGGATGATGCAAAGAAACTACTTAACGGGACCGGGTGTGGTGGCTCACGCCTGTAATGTCAGCACTTTGAGAGGCCGAGGCAGGTGGATCACAAGGTCAAGAGATCTAGAGCATCCTGGCCAACATGATGAAACCCCGTCTCTACTAAAAATATAAAATTTAGCTGGGTATGGTGGTGCGCGCCTGTAGTTCCAGCTACTCGGGAGGCTGAGGCAGGAGAATTGCTTGAACCTGGGAGGTGGAGGTTGCAGTGAGCTCAGATTGTGCCACTGCACTCCAGCCTGGGCAACAGAGCACGACTTCGTCTCAAAAAAGAGAAAGAAAAAAACTCTCTTAGGAAAGTGGAAGTGACAAACTTAGATCAGCTGTGAACAAATAGTAAATTAAAAGGTTAGACCAAGTGGGGTCAGTAATGCATGTTTCTTTTTTCCCTTTCTTTTCTTTTCTTTTTTTTTTTTTTTTTGGAGAAGGAGTTTGACTCTGTTGCCGAGGCTGGAGTGCAGTGGTGTGCTCTGTCACCCAGGCTGGAGTGCAATGGCACAATCTTGGCTCACTGCAGCCTCTGCCTCCAAGGTTCAAGCGATTCTTCTGCCTCAGCCTCCCGAGTAGCTGGGACTACAGGTGCATGCCACCATGCCTGGCTAATTTTTGTATTTTTAGTAGAGATGGCATTTCACTGTGTTGGCCAGGCTGGTCTCGAACTTCTGACCTCATGATCTGCCCACCTTGGCCTCCCAAAGCGCTGGGATTACAGGCGTGAGCCACCATGCTATGCCTGCGGGACATGTTTCACAACAACCAGGAGGCTGTCAAGAAAATTAATATCTTACTGGGTGCCAGGGGCAGTGTTTGGTGTCCAAATCTGATTTAAAACAACAACAAAAAGGTGTTACAGGAACAATACTTAGTGTGATAAAATATACAGTGTAAACCAATAGTCTCTTCCTTAATGTTGAAAGGATAAAATCATCACCAGAACAAAGGCAGCGTGTACTTTTTAGGAAGGAAAAAATAAGTTTTTGTTTGCAAATTTATGTTGTATGCCTAGACAAATAATTAACTGAAAAGTGAGACAGAATTTAAGGATTTTGTATGCTGGTGAGACCAGGTAAATGTGCACAGTTAGAACTGTCTCTGGGGGTCCTTGATAGCCAATCAGGAGAGCGATGATGCAGTGTGACTAGTCATTCGGCTGGCCCTCCGTTTCCCAGGCATGACTGTACCTCCAAGCACAGGGGTCCTGCTGGGGCAGCTCTCCCTGACTCCAGGACTCATGAGTCCCTGCCTGGGGCTTGTACTGAGTCACTTGGAGTGGGGTGTGAGTAGGGGGCTGGGGAGTGGTTTGTTGGTAACCTTTGTCGGTGGCTTCTTGTCCAGGTGGGAGTATGGATTGATGTTGGCAGCCGTTTTGAGACTGAGAAGAACAATGGGGCAGGCTACTTTGTGGAGCATCTGGCTTTCAAGGTGAGGCTCTTGAAGTCTGTCTCCTCTGGGCTTAGGGCTACCTGTTGTCCCTCCTGAGGATGAAGGTCAGAAAAATTAGCCTGATTATGTGCCTCAGTTGTGGGGCTGATCTCTGGCTGGCCTTCCTAAAAGGAGCCACATGAGCTTAACCTCTTCTGAGTGGCATGTATCTGATGAGCCCCTGTATGAGGCCCTCAGAGCCAAGAAGACTCAGGGAGCCACGGGAGCCCCACTTTTCACCAGAGAAGTCAGGCCTGTGTTATGTGCATGCATACAGGGGACTTGAGGAACGCACATAGATATGCACGTGCATTGTAACAGACCCACAGACATGGGCATACATGCTTGCTGGTGAAATGTTCTGCTCTTGTGGACTACCTGGGCATCTTTTGATTGTAAAGTAAAGACCCATGTGTTTTAAAGGAATGAGAAATTGGAGGAGTATGGGATGGGCAGGGCCATGGAGCCATAATGGGCAGCCCAGCCAGCTGCAGTGTCACAGATAAGTGCGCAGAATTAATGTATGTGTGCATACCAAGAGATAGCAACACTTCACACACACACGAGTAGGATTGGGTCCCACAGAGGTGGCCACTAGCATGTATACACCAATACATGCAGTCATATGAATGGCATGGGAGGAGTGGGTTCCATCACTTGAACACAGATGTGGGCTTAGCTGACCACGGCTGTCAATAAGAGAGGCAGCCGGGCGCGGTGGCTCAAGCCTGTAATCCCAGCACTTTGGGAGGTCGAGGTGGGTGGATCACGAGGTCAAGAGATCGAGACCATCCTGGTCAACCTGGTGAAACCCCGTCTCTACTAAAGATACAAAAAATTAGCTGGGCATGGTGGCACGTGCCTGTAATTCCAGCTACTCAGGAGGCTGAGGCAGGAGAATTGCCTGAACCCAGGAGGCGGAGGTTGTGGTGAGCCGAGATGGCGCCATTGCGCTCCAGCCTGGGTAACAAGAGCGAAACTCCATCTCAAAAAAAAAAAAAAAAAAAAAAAATAAGAGAGGCAGGTGTACTGGTAATGACCCCACCACTCATTGGTAAGCTGTTATAGGAGCTCTGGACTTCAGGCTACACTTGCTGTGGCCATGCCCTTCTGTCCTGGCCCTAGCTGTCTCTATTCTGTTGGCCCATGATGCCATGGCCTTGGTCACCACAAGGTCTGCTTAGTGCTTGGTAAGCACAGACCCTGGGATCTATGTCCCCAGAGGCTATCCTGAGGGGGGTATCCGTGGACCAGTAGTGCTGCTGGGTCTCAATAGCCTCTTAGGACAGGATTCTTGGGCTCCCGTGTGGCTACTGATTGGTCTGGTTGATATCTGGTTCCAGGGAACAAAGAATCGGCCTGGCAGTGCCCTGGAGAAGGAGGTGGAGAGCATAGGGGCCCATCTTAATGCCTACAGCACCCGAGAGCACACAGCTTACTACATCAAGGCGCTGTCCAAGGATCTGCCAAAAGGTAACACCTGGAGGAAGAGGTGGGAACTGAGGGCGGGATGGAGGGCAGGGGAGCAGAGGACAGCTACCCGGGAGCCCCTGGTTGACCACAGAATCATATTGCCCTTACTATATGGTTTGCAGTAGGGCAACTAGGTGTGGGCAGCAGAAGATGCCAGGCCTGGGGATTCTGTGCTGCCGTGGGTCTCCAGTGGTCCACCTGGTGCCTAAACATGTCCTCCTTGCATCTAGTTGTGGAGATCCTGGGTGACATTGTGCAGAACTGTAGTCTGGAAGACTCACAGATCGAGAAGGAACGTGATGTGATCCTGCGGGAGATGCAGGAGAATGATGCCTCTATGCGAGACGTGGTCTTTGACTACCTGCATGCCACAGCCTTCCAGGGCACATCTCTAGCCCAGGCTGTGGAGGGGACCAGTGAGAATGTCAGGTGAGAGGTGGCTGGGCTTGTGGGATGCGTGTCCCATTCTGGTCTGGGCAGACCCTTTCCAGGTCACATTTTTAGTTGGCTAGCTGTCTGTGGTGGGTATTTTCCCAGTTATGCAATTGGAGACAGTTTCTATATCCATGTGGTCCAGTGAGTCTTTTTTAATGACTCTGTGAGCTTCACTTGAATTTTGGGCTTTGTTTTAAGGTATGTTGCGGTGCCTGTCCTGACAGTCCAGGGCTGGGGGTGTCTGGTTGTCCCTTCCATGTGGTCTCTTGTCTCCTTTGGGGATGGCTCACAGAGCTCTGATACTGCCCTTTGAGAGTCCCACAGTGTTGGCTCACACCTTATCAGAGAGGACTGTGAGCCTGTCCTCAGGTCAGGCGTGAGGAAAGGACAGATGAGGGCTGCTCTCTGGGCCCTGGAGCAGGGGGTGGCAGAGATAGGGCAAGGGGGTCGGGCGGTGTGCTAGAGCCCACTTCGGAGAAACCATGCCTCTCCTGGTCTGACTCCTCAGTGCCATTCCTGTAGCCCAACTCACTCCAGTGTGGAAGAGGTGTTGACACACTCGCCATATGTCTTGTAGGAAGCTGTCTCGTGCAGACTTGACTGAGTACCTCAGCAGGCATTACAAGGCCCCGCGAATGGTGCTGGCAGCGGCGGGAGGTGAGCGATGGGCTCACTGAAGCCCTGGGTAGGGGGGCCCAATGTCAGTTATCAGAGCCCAGGTCCTGGTTCCCACCATAAAGGACCTTCGACCCCAGGGGACCCTGCCCCCACCTTATGCTTGAGGGTAATAACCTTCCTCCTGTGCTCTCTGAGGTGGAGTAGGATTCTACCCTGCTACCACCGCTGGGACTAGTTATACAGGATGCTGTCCCTCCGGTCCAGGCCTGCCTTAGCCCCGCCTGGTCCTCGGATACTGAGTTTATGGGCTTGTAGGGAATGTAAGTCCCTGGCCTTGTTCCTTGCGGCCTTGCCCTTGGGTGAGCCAGCTGTTAGTTGTGTGGTGATGCATGCCTGATACAGACCAAGAAGTGCCTTAAAAGGAAGGCACAGAAAGGTGGGGGAGATTTCATGGGGGACTTAGAGTTGTAGGTTGGGGGAGGGGCTTTTTAAAGCACCTGTCATTTGAACAGAAGCCTAAAAGGTGGTGAGTGTTACTTAGGTATGGTGTGAGAACTGAGCACAGGGGAAGAGCAGTGTCAAGGTCTGAAGTGTTCTAAGGTTTGCCCTGCTGCTATGTGGAGGCAGGCTGCTGGCTCGAGAGGGGCTGTGGCAGGGACCTGGCAGGAGCGATAGGGAGCAGTAGATGGACTCCAAGTGATTTTATAGATGGAACCTGATTGGGGTCAGGGCGTGGGTAGGGGACTGGGGTCAAGATGCTTCCATTTTGGCCAGGCACGGTGGCTTATGCCTGTAATCCTAGCACTTTGGGAAGCTGAGGTGGGTGACTCACCTGAGGTCAGGAGTTTGAGACCAGCCTGGCCAACATGGTGAAACCCCATCTCTACTAAAAATACAAAAATTAGTTGGGCATGGTGGTGGGTGTCTATAATCCCAGCTACTTGAGAGGCTGAGGCAGGAGAATCGCTTGAACCCAGTGGGCGGAGGTGGCAGTGAGTTCAGATCATGTCACTGTACTCCGGCCTGGGCGACAAAGTCAGACTCTGTCTCAGAAGAAAAAAAAAAAAAATTTCAGCTTACCACCTTGGCAGCTGAGTGAGCAAAAGAGACCAATAGGAAGAGCATGACGGGGGGCTTTGGAACTGGCAAACCAAGGCACGAGAGCAGTCTGATGTCTCTGTCAGACTAGCAGGGCTTGAGCTCACAGAAGGAAGGCATAAAAGGCCAACGTAACTGGTGGCTGTCACCCTGGGGCAGCATTGCCACAGTGTTCACCAGTCGAGGCTCCAACAAGGAGTCAGTCCTGGGGCGTGTGTTTGTAACATTGCTTGCAAATGTCCCCAGCTCTTAGGGGACCCCAGAGCTAATCACAGCCCTGCAATAGTGCCTCTTTCTGCCCCCCCCCCACTTACCCCCCCTTTCAGGGCCAGTGGCCAGATCTACTTGAGGGAGAGCTAGAGGGAAAAGGCAGGCCAGGTGGCTTTGTGCCCAGGGAGTACCAGTCTTGTCCTTGATGTAGGTGGGATGCATCTTCTCGGGTGAGAACCTATGCTTGCATCACATGGCAGTCCATTTGGAAGCTCAGCGCTGCTGCTCTTCTGAGACTGAGGCCATGGGAGTTATCTGGCCCTGAGGTGCCTGTCCTGTCCACAAGGCAGGTTCTGTCTGAGGAGGACCCTCTCTCCTCACCCTGTTCTAATGTCACATATTCCTTCTGGTTTCTCCCACTAAGACAAGACATGGGGGTCCTCAGCCTGTCTGTGAATTCCCCCACCCTGTGCCTTTGGCCCTGGCTGGTCAGTAATGCACTGTCTGTCTCTGCAGGAGTGGAGCACCAGCAGCTGTTAGACCTTGCCCAGAAACACCTTGGTGACGTATCTTGGCAGTACCCAGAGGATGCTGTGCCTGCTTTGACTACATGCCGCTTCACTGGCAGTGAGGTGTGCTGCCTTTTGGGCAGGGGTAGGGCTCTCAGCTGGGGGCCAGTGGGAGGATCCCCATGTGCATGGTTACCCTGGTGACTCCAGAGATACTTCAGCAGTTGGAAAGGAGTCCCGTGGCTACTGTGTCACAGGCACACATGTTCACACACATGTACACACTTCATACCTGCCGCCTTTTCTGTTCCCCAGGCAGCCTGTGTGTCCCTCAGCTTTGTTATATACCATTTCAGATCCGCCACCGTGATGATGCTCTACCTTTAGCCCACGTGGCCATTGCAGTAGAAGGTCCTGGCTGGGCCAACCCGGACAATGTGGCCTTGCAAGTGGCCAATGCCATCATTGGCCACTATGACTGCACTTACGGTGGTGGCGTGGTGAGTGCCAGAGCAAGCATGGGACCTCGCCTTCAGGGAAGAGAGGTGCTGGGGCTTTGTGCTTCTGTGCATGGGGTCACAGTGTGTCGAAGACAAGAGGTGAGTGCTCATCACCTGTACCCCCTGGCAGCACCTGTCCAGCCCACTGGCTTCAGCCGTTGCGGCCAAGAAGCTGTGCCAGAGTTTCCAGACTTTCAACATCTGCTATGCAGAAACGGGCTTGCTGGGTGCACACTTTGTCTGTGACCGAATGAAAATCGATGACATGATCTATGTGCTGCAAGGCCAGTGGTAAGTGGCAGCCTGGTACTCCTAGGTGGGATGGGGGCTTTGACCAGCACAGTGGAAGGCTGGGAGACAACACGCAGGCTGAGAATGAACACCACCGCCTGTCCCAACTTTAGGATGCGCCTGTGTACCAGTACCACGGAGAGTGCGGTGGCTCGGGGCAAAAATATCCTCAGGAATGCCCTGGTATCTCAGCTAGACGGTGAGTCCTGCAGCTCAGCAGGGAGGGGTAGAGAGCATCTTGCCAGCGACAGTCCCAAGGTGGCCACCACTCCTAACTAACCAAGGTTAGAAAGGAAAACTTTGAAGACCACGCAGTGCCCCACCACCCCACCCTTGCAGAGGCAGGCAGGTGTGGGACAGGTCCACAGCCTGTCCATACAATTAACGACATAATTGTAGCCATAGAAGAGAGAGCTGTGATCTGGGTCAGCATAAGGTCAGGGAGGTCCTTGTCAGCCTGAGGCTGGAGGTTGTGTACCTGTGAGTCCAGGATTAGGCTGGGTGGACTTCTGAGCCTTCCCCCACCCTTAAAGGCACTACTCCTGTGTGTGAGGACATCGGACGCAGCCTCTTGACCTATGGCCGCCGCATTCCCCTGGCTGAATGGGAAAGCCGGATTGCGGTAACATGGGCCCCTGGGAGAGGTTCTGGAGTCTTGGCCTGGCAGACACCTGGGAGGTGCAGCGTTGGGGTCTGGCAGAACCGAGCCTGCTCCTGTAGGCATCCCTAGTGTCCTAGGCAGCTGTCACCTGCAAGGGTGGTATAATGGGATGCGAGGGCAGGGCAGAGGTGCTGATGGCTGTGGAGATGAGTGGGGCCCATGGAAGTCTATAGCAGGAATCCTTTCTGCCTTTCCCCTTTTGGGTTGGGGACAGCTGCACACTCCCTGTGGGAGATCTTGGCCAGCTGGATGATGCTGACTGGCTGAGGTGGTGGCCAGGTGCCCGTTGGCCAACATGCCTCCTCTACCTCACCCTGCAGGAGGTAGATGCCAGTATGGTACGTGAGATCTGCTCCAAGTACTTCTATGACCAGTGCCCAGCAGTGGCTGGATATGGTAAGTAACCTAGGGAGTCTGCTTCTTGTGTCCTCAGGGCATTCTCTTAGCCTCCCCTTCTACCTCTGCTCCCCCACTCCCCAGCTTACACAGAGCAGCCAGTTAAGGCCCCCAGCAGCTCTCCCCAGTCCCCTGGCTGCCAGGGAGTTCTTGCTCAGAAAACCTGTCCCAGCAGCTCCTTGACTGCCTGCCAAGGTGCCTCCATCAATACCCTGTACCCGCCAGGTAACGGGCACCTCCATGTGGGGCGGGGCTTCAAGGGCCAGAGCATGAAGGGACAGGCTTTGCACCCCTGGGGGAATGTTCTCTTCCTCTTTGGACTCAAAGCCTGTCTGTGCTGCTCTGGGCAGCAGCTCCTAGTTGGGTGCGGCACAGGGCCAGGTGTCCCTGTGCAGGCCAGGTACCCCACCCTGACGCTCCACCCTTTCCCCACAGGCCCCATTGAGCAGCTCACAGACTACAACCGGATCCGTAGCGGCATGTTCTGGCTGCGCTTCTAGGCAGGAAGCCTGTGTAAGCAAGAGGGTGGGGCTGGGGCTCGTGGTCCCCCCACCACAAATAGTACTCTGGCTCCTCCAACCTGTGCCACAGGTGACCACCAATAAAGTCCTCTGCTGAGAAATGTGTTGTTCCTCTTTTGGCATTGGCATGGAGTCCATTGGGCAGTAGATAGGGAGCAAGGACTTCCTTGGCCCCTGGATCCTCCTGCCTTCGCCAGGGGCAAGCGTGGGGGCTGCAGCAGGGTCCAGAAGTCTTTGATGCCTACAGGGAGCTGAGCCCAGATGTTTCCACTCAGGCACTTAGGGGATGTTCCTCAGCCAGCCTGTCCCAGGAGTGGGCTGTGGGAGTCCATAGGAAGTGCAGACCCAACCTTTGCCCCTGTAGGAGTCCCAGCTTGGAATCTGCAGGCTCAGATGGGAAACTCCTCACTGGACCTTGTGCCAAGTCACCCTCTCGTGGTCCCTGGTTTGCTGGGGTGGAACTGAAGGAGCCAAGGGCTGTCTCCAAGGATGTCTCTTTCGTGTGTTTACTCTGGATTCTGGAAGGAAGATAGCCTGGGGCATAGTGTTCCCATTTGGTTTCTAACTGCTGCCTAGACAAGCAGGGCAAGAATCCTTCCCTCCGCTGACTCAGGCTCCAAGAATAGCCCTGAGCTCAGTGGGGCCCAAGCCCCCTCCCTCAACTACATCTGTCCCAGGCAAGTCCAGAGCTGCTGGCCTGACAGTCCCCTTTCCATCTTCTGAGGCAGCCAGCACCCCATGCAGCTCTTACTTACCTAGTCCCTCTGTTACCTGTGTGGGCTCTGGTCCCCATGGTGGGTGGGCAGGTAGGCCACTCCTGCACCCCCCGCCCCACCCCGTGCTTCCACAGTCAGGTTCTCTGGGATCCCAAGGGGAAGTTGAAAGTGAGGGGCCCAATTTTCCTTTGGGGAAGTTGCTGCCTGGCAGTCACAAGCAGGGTGCTGGGACAAGGTCATTTAGAAGAGGGCTGTTCAGAAGTCCGTGCCCCCACCCCCCGCCCCCGCCCCCGCATCCTAACTTGGAAGTAGCCCAAGCAACCTTGTATCACTCTCACCCTGCCCCAGTGCCTTTCCCTCACCATTTGCTGCCATACGTTGACAACTGGGAGACATTTGTCAAGTACCTTCTACGACCCAGAACTGGGGCACTGCGAAGATGAGGCTACTTTGCAACCAGCTGGAGAGAAGATGCTGGGCAACGCAGAACCCTGATAGGCCCAACCCTGGGTGCTCCTGGAGGTCCAACACCCAGGCAGGGAAACAAGTGCCACGTCTTTTGCCAAGTTTGAGCTCCTCAAGGATGGGGCTTGATTTCTCTTCTAAGCCCATGCCTGGTCCTTTGAGACTACAGGTGTGCTGAAGAGAGCTTGAGCTGCTGGGAGTGGTCTGGTTCTAAGGGACCTTGCCTACCAAGCCAGGGACTCCACTCTTTACCCTGGAGCCATGTTGGGGAGGTGTGTTGCAGGTGACTGTGAAGAGAAGTGACTTGGTAGAGCTGAGACTCAGCATGGGGGCTCTTAGGCCACATTTCTGTGTCAGTCCTGGTGAGCTACGCTGTAGCAGAGCAGAGGTCATGGCCATACCAGAACTGGAGCCAGCTGCAGGGGACACAAAGAGGACTGCATTCTCAGCAGGGCTGGGAGACGGGGCAGGAGTGGCTTGGAGGAGGGTAACCTGCCATAGTCCAGTGCGGAGTTTGGTGGTGTCCAGGGCACAGTGGGATGTGTGAGGCTGGGATCTGATAATGAGGCCCTGGATGGAAACAGATGGGGAGAGGTACTGACCGAGGCCAGTTCAGGGAAGCTTGGGAGGGAGGAGGATTCACTCTGAGGGGTCCACCACTCTGATGGGGTTGTAGGTAGGCACTGGCCTCTGGGGATGTGCCCTAGGCTATGTGCTTGCCAGGAAGCCAGAGTTGGGGCCTCAGAGGGCCACATTCCAGCTCAAGAGCCTCATTAGGAGCTCCAGACATGGAGTCATTCCAGCCTCACTCCTACCTTCCCAAAAGCCTCTCCCAGTACCCTTTGAGAGACCCCCTCACAGCAGCCCTTCCTTTTGGGGGCACCTCAATTCTGATGAGGTTCGCCTGAGCACTCACCCAGCTGGGCTTCCTGTCTCCCCGTCTGTACTGTACTGTCCATGCCACTGCCCTGCTCTCACCCATGCTGGCTGTGCAGGAGGAGGTGACAGTCTCAAGGGGAAGGGGCTGCCTGTGTGATGAGAGCCTATCTGGGTCTCTGCAGCCCTCACCTGGAGCACACCTTGCAGGGATGGGGGTCCTGGGACATGGCTGAGGAGACCCTGACCTTGGAATAAGGTTCTAGGCCTCATGGGGTCATATCACTGTGCCCAGGATAGTTTTTGGGGGGTCAGTAATACGGGGTAGCCCCAGCCTTCCCTCGGCAATGGGAAAGCAGGCAGCATGGATGGCCTTCACTGCCTCCAATTCTGGCCACACCAGAGTCCTCAGGCTGTGGAGTCCAGGCCAGTGCTGTCCCTGCAGATCCCAGGGGAGGCTGTGGGGCCGGGCAGGTTAGAAGGGGCTAAACAGCCTTGGTGAGTATAGATGTGCTTTCTGGGCTGCCCAGAATTATCTGGATTAGCAGGAAAAAAAGTGGGGAGCAGGACCCAGATGGGGCCTGCCCTTCTTAGGGTTCCTCTCTGCCTTAGTGTTACCCATCTAATGAAGAGCTATGCATATACAAAGCCCCATCTCCTCAGGACACTGGCCCTGGCCTGGTGTGTGTTGGGGGACTGTCCACAGCCTCAGAAGCCAAGCTGGAGAAGGGTGGGAAGTCAGCCTGGGTAAGGGGAGAGGAGTGAGGCAGGGGGCAGTTATGAGGCTGGACGCTACAGGTACCGTGAGAGTGAAAGGAGGAAGGGGCCTGATGGGAGAGATGGGTGGCAGGGGCTTGCAAGAAGAGTTGATGGAAGGGGGGATGCCTGTGGGTGAGGACATGTAGGTAGGGGGACCTAGCCTGGGGCATGGAGGGCTGGATTCCTGAGAAATGAGCTGTCACTGTGGGTGGTCCTGCCCTCCACAGATGGATGGCCCCTTTCCTGCAGGCACAGCTGGATTGCATCTGCCTGGGATATGGCAGGGGTGTGGGACATTGGGACGTATGCATAAGCATGACACAGGTTGTCTCCTCCCAGCTTATCCCCTACAAAGACGGAGTGAGTTATTTGGATCCGGGCCAAGGGGACCTTGTTTCCCTAAGGTAGGCCCAGAGTCACCCATTTGTCAGGGCTGCTCGCCTGTCAAGGAGATTGGGGTGGGGCCCAGGGGGCCCACCAGACAGACAGAGGGATAGCTGAATCACAGGAGTGGCCGGCGGGACCCATGGCCTGAGGACTTGTCTGGGCACCCCCACCAGATTGGGGGTGAGTCATCCACAGCTGTAGCCCCAACCCCCCGCCAATGGCGCTGCTGCCTTGTGGCTCTGCAGGAACCTGTCCACTCCTCAGCCTGGTCACTGTGATTGACGTAAAGCAGCCAAGACCTGTGACTTTACATGGGATTGGGGGTACTCCCTCAGCATCTGTCCATGGAGAACCTTCTGGGAAATTCCCAGAAGCCACGGGGGGTCTGGGGCTCTACAGTTAAGTGCGTCACATCGTTTGTCTGGGGGAAGGGTGGTGGGGGCGGTGACCTCTCGGGGATGTGGGTGAGGGCGGGTGCCTGGGTCCCCGCCTGCCGCTCCGCCCCCCCGGGATCAGGGACTTTTCTCTGCTCTGCCCGCGGGACTGCAGCAGCGGCGGCAGCGGCGGCGGGAGCAGGCGGACGCGCAGGCAAGACCAGGACTCGGGCTGGAGGGGCGCTGGGCTCGGACCCACCAAGGCCGCGGGGGCGGGGTGGGGCAAAGGACAGAGGTGGGGGTCCTAGCTGACTGCTTTTACCGCCCAGGATGAGGCTGCGGCTTCTGGTGGCCGCGCTCTGCGCTGGGATCCTGGCAGGGGCGCCACGAGTGCGAGCCCAGCACAGGGAGAGAGGTGGGCACCGCCAGGGAGGACCCGGCCCGGGGCACTACACCGTGTCACCCTCCGCTCCACTTGGCCTTCATCCCCGACGACCCCCATCCCCACCCAGCCAACTCCACGATGCCCGCTGATTCCTCCTAACTCTGGGACTCCCCGAAACCTCCGCGATCAGTGCTGGATTCCCTAAACCACCTCCTATCCTGTTCCGACCCAAATTCTGGCTCCTGGGATTCGCGCAGGGTCCCCTGCTTTATGCCGATCCGCGCTGTCCCCTAGAGGCTGACCTCAGTCCCAGGTCTACACCCGTGCAGACGACTCTTCCTCCCCCGCAGGCCCCAACCCTCCCCAGGAGTCTGGTTTGGGACCCACCCAGTTCCCTCCCTTCAGGGCTCCTAGGCTCAGGCCGACCTGGCCCTAGTTTGCATAAGCAGAGGAGGCCTACTCTCCCCACCATCCCAAGTCCCAGCAAGGCCACAGTGCAGGGAGGCGGGTGGTTGGCCTCCCAGAAGAGGCCCTGATCTCTCCTCCCCACCCCAGTGACCTGCACGCGCCTTTACGCCGCTGACATTGTGTTCTTACTGGATGGCTCCTCATCCATTGGCCGCAGCAATTTCCGCGAAGTCCGCAGCTTTCTCGAAGGGCTGGTGCTGCCTTTCTCTGGAGCAGCCAGTGCTCAGGGTGTGCGCTTTGCCGCAGTGCAATACAGTGATGACCCACGGTGAGTAATGGCCCTAGGGGCTGGGGACCAGGAGATCCCACCAAGACCACTTTCCCAGAGAGGGTGGAGACCCTTGAAACCCCAGGCCAGGTCTTTCCAGAAACAGGTTTTGGGGAATCTAGAGACTTCCTAGCCAGGACCTCCTCAGGAGACAGAGGTAAGGATTCCCTAGGTAGAATCTTCGTGCCCTGAAACACCTCCAGGCTATTTCAAGACAGGAAGGTGCAAAACAGGGAGGCTTTGTTTTCTGATCTGAAGGTGGGGAGCACAGGAGGGGGCCCCCATGCCTGTTGGACTCTCCATGTTCGAACCCCTAACCCCCGCAGCCGTTCCACCAGCGGCGCTCCTTGTCTGGCCGGCATCCACCTTCCTCCATCTGCACCCTTCCTCTTGCAGTTATTTAATTTAGCAGCATCTTGTTCCCCACAGGCTGTGAGCCCCTAGGGCTCCTTCAGGACTGCCCAGGCCCAGCTGCAGAGGGTGCACAAAGGAGCATCTTGGGGCGGGGGTGTTAACCTGGGGGTTCCAGAGGCAAGATGGTGTGGAGAATCATAGAACCAAGGCACCCCTCAAGAAAGCCTGACACCCATAACCCTCACCCTAGAGGCCTCCTCAAGGCCAAGGCCAGAAGAGGTCCTGAGTCCTAGCCTGTTGCCACCCCTACCCTCCAACAGGACAGAGTTTGGCCTGGATGCACTTGGCTCTGGGGGTGATGTGATCCGTGCCATCCGTGAGCTCAGCTACAAGGGGGGCAACACTCGCACAGGGGCTGCTATTCTCCATGTGACTGATCGTGTCTTCCTGCCCCAGCTGGCCCGACCTGGCGTCCCCAAGGTGATCCCTACCCCTACCATGCCTCCCAAGATGACCCCAAATGAAGTGTCCAGGGGAGCTGTGATCTGACCCCTGCACCTGTTCCAGGTCTGCATCCTGATCACAGATGGGAAGTCCCAGGACCTGGTGGACACAGCTGCCCAAAGGCTGAAAGGGCAGGGGGTCAAGCTATTTGCTGTGGGTGAGGACCGAGCCCGGGTGACAGGTCAGCTGGTGGGGGGCAGTCAGAGACCATGTGGTGACTGAGTCCTGACTGGGCGTCACTTCAGGGATCAAGAATGCCGACCCTGAGGAGCTGAAGCGAGTTGCCTCACAGCCCACCAATGACTTCTTCTTCTTCGTCAACGACTTCAGCATCTTGAGGACCCTACTGCCCATTGTTTCCCGGAGAGTGTGCAGGACTGCTGGTGGCGTGCCTGTGACCCGGCCTCGTGAGTTCCTGCCCACACGGCCCTGACCCGGACCCCGGACCCACTCCCAACCCCCACCTGGGAGTGCTGATTCCATCCTATGTGCTCCTGACCCCTGACCCCAACTCTGCACCATACATGCTCACCCCAACGCTCCTGCCTGATCCCCTGATCCCCCGATCCCCCATTCCCAGCGGATGACTCGACCTCTGCTCCACGGGACCTAATGCTGTCTGAGCCAAGCAGCCAATCCTTGAGAGTACAGTGGACAGCGGCCAGTGGCCCTGTGACTGGCTACAAGGTCCAGTACACTCCTCTGACAGGACTGGGACAGCCACTGTCGAGCGAGCGGCAGGAGGTAGGATGTCAGAAGTGATAGGTGGTGGCTGGGGACTTGGCTGGGTAAGATAAAGTGACCTTTGGCCTTGGGCAGGTGAACGTCCCAGCTGGTGAGACCAGCGTGCGGCTGCAGGGTCTCCGGCCACTGACCGAGTACCAAGTGACGGTGGTTGCCCTCTATGCCAACAGCATCGGGGAGGCTGTGAGCGGGACAGCTCGGACCAGTGAGCAATTCTGCCAGCCCCTGATCCCATTCACCTAACCCCCCACCCTAGTGCCCCCTCCCCACTCCTGACTCCATGAATCCCTGGTGGGACTCTCTCCCAGCTGCCCTGGAGGGGCCAGAGTTGACCATCCAGAATACCACAGCCCACAGCCTCCTGGTGGCCTGGCAGAGTGTGCCAGGTGCCACTGGCTACCGCGTGACATGGCGAGTCCTCAGTGGTGAGTGAGAGATGTGGGCTGAGGGAGTCCCTGTGCCTCAGACAAGGCTGTAGAGTCCTGAGTCCACAAGGCCCACTGGCCCCTTGGTGTCCCCCATGCAGGTGGGGCCACTCAGCAGCAGGAGCTGGGCCCTGGGCAGGGTTCAGTGTTGCTGCGTGCCTTAGAGCCTGGCACAGACTATGAAGTGACCGTCAGCACCCTGTTTGGCCGCAATGTGGGGCCTGCCACATCCCTCACGGCTCGCACTGGTGAGGAGGCTGGGCACTGTCTTCAGGCTGGGACGGGCAGGCAGGGCAAGGCCCAGAGGCCACTGACGTCCCATGTGTCCTGGGCAGACACTTCTGTGGAGCAGAACCTGCGCCCAGTCATCCTGGGCCCCACATCCATCCTCCTGTCCTGGAACTTGGTGCCTGAGGCCCGTGGCTACCGGTTGGAATGGCGGCGTGAGAGTGGTCAGTGAAGGGAGCCGCGGCGGCTCTGGCCAGTTGTCCTGGCACTTGAGGAGGCGAGGCTATGCGTTCAAAGGCCAACTTGGGCAAAATTAAGACCCTCTCATAAGTTAAAAAAAAAAAAAGAGAGAGAGTGGTCAGTGTGGGGGAAGGGGTGGACAGGCAGGGGTCAGGGCATGGCCTCAGCTGGCCTGACCTTGTCATCTTGCAGGCTTGGAGCCACCGCAGAAGGTGGTTGTGCCCTCTGATGTGACCCGCTACCAGTTGGATGGGCTGCAGCCAGGCACTGAGTACCGCCTCACACTCTACACTCTGCTGGAGGACCGCGAGGTGGCCACCCCCGCCACCGTGGTTCCCACTGGTGAGGGCTCTGTGGGCTGGGCCAGTGAGAGGGGAGGTGTTAAAGCCCCAGGCTGCCTCTATGCTGTGCTCTCTAACAGGGCCAGAGCTGCCTGTGGGCCCTGTGACGGAACTGCAAGCCACTGAGCTGCCCGGGCAGCGGGTGCGAGTGTCCTGGAGCCCAGTCCCCGGTGCCACCGGGTACCGCATCACAGTGCGCAGCACCCAGGGTGAGATGGATGCAGCCAGCACCCTCCCCGCCACCACACACGTGCGCGCGTGCACACACACACACACACACACACACTGAAGTGCCAGCCTGCGGGGTCTGAGTGTAGCTCCAGCCCTCTCCTTCCACACCTGGGTCCCTACAGCCTCCTCCCTGTCTCCTTATCCATCCACTTCCTAGGATGGCACTGAGCCCTGAATAGGGTCTGTCTGCCTGCTACTCTGCCCCAGCCAGTGTCCTCCCTGCCCCACACCCCTGTCCATGGCTTTCACCCCTGCCCAGCCACAAGCTCAATCACCTAACTTTCCATTACCCTGGTGGTGACCACTGTCCACGCCAACCTCTCATTGCATGCCCCCATCCAACACTGACCTCTGCCATCCAACACAAGTGTCTGTCAATGGCCTGTCAGTTCTCACTGCTGTCCGCTAACTCCTATCGTGCTACATCCCATCATCCCACACCCCATCATCCCACTGACCCCTGTCCTCCAGTGTCCCCAGCCATCACCGGTCCCTTTCATCCCATGTACTTGTCTTGCACTCACTTTTATCAGCCATATTCCATCTCTCTGGCCCCCACCACCCCACATCCCCATCCCCATGGCCCTTCTCTTCCTGTGTCCCTGTGCATTGCTGCCATCGTCCCACACCCCTGTCTCTTTCTGACCCCTGCTCACCTACCCTGACTTCTCTTTTAGGGGTTGAGCGGACTCTGGTGCTTCCGGGGAGTCAGACAGTCTTCGACCTGGATGACATTCGGGCTGGGCTTAGCTACACTGTGCGGGTGTCTGCTCGAGTGGGTCCCCGTGAGGGCACTGCCAGTGTCCTCACCGTCCACCGGGGTGAGCACTACAGCAGGCTTGTGGAGGACAGCTGTGTGCCTCACTCTGGTCGTGGTTCTGACCTCTGACCTCTGTCTTCAACCCCTAGAGCTGGATACCCCACTGGCTGTTCCAGGGCTGCGAGTTGTGGTGTCAGATGCAACGCAAGTGAGGCTGGCCTGGGGACCCGTCCCTGGAGCCAGTGGATTTCGGATTAGCTGGAGGACAGGCAGTGGTCAGTGTGGGCTGCATGGGAGGGACCAATCAGGGTATGGGGACTGGAGGGGACAGGCAGGAGCCATGCCAGCATTTCCCTCTGACACCAGGTCCAGAATCCAGCCAGATACTGCCCCCAGACTCTACTGCCACAGACATCACAGGGCTGCAGCCTGGAACTGCCTACCAGGTGGCTGTGTTGGCACTGCGAGGGAGAGAAGAGGGCCCCCCTGCAGTCATTGTGGCTCGAACGGGTCAGAGTCTGCCCCGTCCCTTGGCTCTATGCCCCCATTACCCTTTCAGACCCCCATACCTCCCCTTGCGGACCCTTGCTTCTCCCCAGAACTTCTGCCTCCTCCTTCAGATTCCCGCTGCCTCCTCCCTCCGAGATGCTGCTTCCTTCGGTTTCAGCTGTCTCCCCTTAAGCCCTCCCCATCTTCAGATTCCCCTGCCTCTTCTCTAAGACTCCCATAGTCTTTGCCCTCAAATTTCCACCACCTTATCCCTCAGACCCCACCCCTTTTTTTGCTGGACCTAAATCTCCTCTTTTTTTTTTTTTTTTTTTTTGAGACGGAGTTTCACTCTTGTTACCCAGGCTGGAGTGCAATGGCGCGATCTCGGCTCACCGCAACCTCCGCCTCCCGGGTTCAGGCAATTCTCCTGCCTCAGCCTCCTGAGTAGCTGGGATTACAGGCACGCGCAACCATGCCCAGCTAATTTTTTGTATTTTTAGTAGAGATGGGGTTTCACCATGTTGACCAGGATGGTCTCGATCTCTCGACCTCGTGATCCACCCGCCTCGGCCTCCCAAAGTGCTGGGATTACAGGCTTGAGCCACCGCGCCCGGCCTAAATCTCCTCTTAGATTTACCCTTTCTCCTCCATCAGACCTCCTCACTGCTTCATAATACCTCCGACTCCCTACTCCTCCACTGGACCCATTCACTGTCTCCTCCATCAGATTCTTGTCTCCTGTTAGACTCCCATCGCCTTTTCCTATCAGATGGCCCCACTCCCTGCCTCCCCCAGCAGACCCTCCCCTGCCTCCCCCAGCAGACTTCCCATTGCCCCATTGCCTCTTCCCGCCAGACCCACTGGGCCCAGTGAGGACAGTCCGTGTGACTCAGACCGGCAGCTCATCTGTCACCATTGCCTGGACCAGGGTTCCTGGCGCCACAGGATACAGGGTTTCCTGGCATTCAGCCCATGGTGGGGACTGGGGTTTGGGAGGGGGCATTTCAGGGTTGAATGGAGCCTGGGGGTTTTTGGGGGGTCCAGGTGGGACACTGGGGGATAGAGTTTGGCTAGCCCTGGAGCTGACTCCATCCCTGCTTCTAGGCCCAGAGAAATCCCAGCTGGTTTCTGGGGAGGCCACAGTGGCTGAGCTGGATGGACTGGAGCCAGATACTGAGTACACGGTGCATGTGAGGGCCCATGTGGCTGGTGTGGATGGGTCCCCTGCCTCTGTTGTTGTGCGGACAGGTGAGTGGACCCTGGCCAGCTGCTACCCACCCTGCCCTGCTGTATATTTCTGATTGCCCAACTGCCTCTGCGTCCCTGCTCAGTGGCTGTCCTGTCCACACTGATCCACCCCACTCTGATTAAGCGTCCATCCACGGTGACCTCCTGGTGGCCCCATGCTGCCCACCTGAGGCACTGACCTCCTCCCTCTCAGGAATGCCTACACTGACCTGTCCACACTAACCTCACGCTGACTTTCAGATCACCCCTATGTCAACCATGCCTAAACTGCCACTCTGTCCCATCAGACCCCCAGTGACTCCTGCCCCTTACCTTGTCTCTGTCCCCAGCCCCTGAGCCTGTGGGCCGTGTGTCAAGGCTGCAGATCCTCAATGCTTCCAGCGACGTTCTGCGGATCACCTGGGTAGGGGTCACTGGAGCCACAGCTTACAGACTGGCCTGGGGCCGGAGTGAAGGTATGGCTCCCTGACCCCACCCCTGTCCTTCCTGGCTGGGACCTGCCACCCCTAACCATTGCTCTATGCTCATCTGGCCAGGTGGCCCCATGAGACACCAGATACTCCCAGGAAACACAGACTCTGCAGAGATCCGGGGTCTCGAAGGTGGAGTCAGCTACTCAGTGCGAGTGACTGCACTTGTTGGGGACCGCGAGGGTGCACCTGTCTCCATTGTCGTCACCACACGTAGGCAGAGTGTGGGCTGGAGAGCCTAGGATGGGTGGTGTGGATGGTTTAGGGATTGAGGCTTGTGCTCGGGATTGGAGAACGGACCAGGGTTTGTAGCGAGCCTTTGAGGGCAGGGTCTGAGAGAAGGAAAAGGGAAGGCAGAGGGATTGGCTGGGTGGGGTGTGTGTGCCAGAGAGGGCCTGGGATTGGCACAGGGGCCAGTGGGGGCAGAGCCTCCCTGATTTCTATGCTTTCTGTCTAGCACCTGAGGCACCGCCAGCCCTGGGGACACTTCAGGTGGTGCAGCGTGGGGAGTACTCACTGAGGCTGCGCTGGGAGCCGGTGCCGGGAGCTCAGGGCTTCCTTCTGCGCTGGCAACCCGAAGGTGAGAGGTTTCCCTGGGAGGTTAAGGACCAGTGGGGTTAGGGGTGTGGCAGACGCTGCAAGGTGGGCAAGGACAGTGACAGTGGGCAGGGTCTGTCATTGGGGGTCTGTGGGATCAGTGACAGTAGGTAAGATCGATCAATGAAGTGGGCGGGATCAATGAGTTCATGAAGGGTCAGTCTAGCAGGGTCTATAAAGTGGGCAGAGTCAGTGAGGATGAGGAAGATCAGTCAGGAGAGTGGCCCAATTAACAGAGTCAGTGAGGTGGGCGGGCCCATTAATGCCCCCCAATGTCACTCTCCCACATGCTCTTGGTTCCCGCCCTCATATTTGCCCCAGGTGGCCAGGAACAGTCCCGGGTCCTGGGGCCCGAGCTCAGTAGCTATCATCTGGATGGGCTGGAGCCAGCGACACAGTACCGCGTGAGACTGAGTATCCTGGGGCCAGCTGGAGAAGGGCCCCCCGCGGAGGTGACTGTGCATACTGGTAAGCCTGCCTCACCCTGGCGTGCTCCCCCCACGTTAATGACCCACCCACTCTGACTTCCTGTACCCCAGACTCTGAGTGAGTTTTCCTGTACCCCCACCCCTCCACCATCTGACCCTGGATGATCCCAGCATGACCTCCCATGATGCTTCAATAAGACAAACCTGACCCAGGATCTCACATCTCTCTCCTCTGGGTTCTCAGGATGCAGCCTGTGATCCCCGATCTTTCATTCCTCCTTCAGAGTCACCTCGTGTTCCAAGCACTGAACTACGTGTGGTGGGCACCTCGATTGACTCCGTGACTTTGGCCTGGACACCAGTGTCCGGGGCATCCAGCTATATCCTATCCTGGCGGCCACTCAGAGGCCCTGGCCAGGGTGAGGGGGAGGCCAGGGTTGGAGCGGGCTGGCAGTTGGGGCTCCATGGAGACTGCTTTTTAACCAAGTTCTGTCCTCTGCAGAAGGGGCCCCACAGACACTTTCAGGGATCTCAAGGTCCCAGCAGGTGACAGGGCTAGAGCCCGGCGTCTCTTATGTCTTCTCCCTGACACCTGTCTTGGATGGTGTGCGGGGTCCTGAGGCATCTGTCACACAGATGCCAGGTATGGTGGGCCTAGTGGGAAGGGTGGAAAGGTGTGTCTGGGTGGGCTGCCACATAGGTAACTTGGCCCCCTTCCTGCAGTGTGCCCCCGTGGCCTGGCAGATGTGGTGTTCTTACTGCATGCCACTCAAGACAATGCTCACCGTGCGGAGGCTACGAGGCGGGTCCTGGAGCGTCTGGTGGTGGCACTTGGGCCTCTTGGGCCACAGGCAGTTCAGGTTTGGCCCTAGGAGCAGCCGGATTCATACCTCTCCCTGCGCCTCCCCAACCCAGGCTCCAGACCGGTGACCATCTCCTGACCTCCAGTAGTTCAGACAATCTCCCAGCTCTCCCACAGGCTCCAGACCTCACCTGCTGTGTGTGTGGCTCACTCCCTGACAGATAGGGTTTTGTCGCACACACCCTGATGTGTTTCTCTAGGCTCTGTGCACCCCCATCCCTGCTCTCTCATCCTCCCCAGGCTCTGTGTCTCCCCCACTCCAGGTTGGCCTGCTGTCCTACAGTCACCGGCCCTCCCCACTGCTCCCGCTGAACGGCTCCCATGACCTTGGCAGTATCTTGCAAAAGATCCGTGACATCCCCTACATGGACCCAAGTGGGAACAACCTGGGTGAGGATGGCAGCAGGCATGGACTCCAGGGGCTACCCACTGGGAGCTTGGTGCCCCAGGGTTCTGACATGTCCTTCCTTCCAGGCACAGCCGTGGTCACAGCTCACAGATACCTGTTGGCACCAGATGCTCCTGGGCGTCGCCAGCACGTACCAGGGGTGATGGTTCTGCTAGTGGACGAACCCTTGAGAGGTGACATATTCAGCCCCATCCGGGAGGCCCAGGCTGCTGGTGAGGACTAGGCTGATGGGGAGGGGGTCTGGGATTAGGGGTGGCCCCGACAGGGTTATCATGCAGGCCACCGGACCCCTCCTCAGGGCTCCACGTGGTGATGTTGGGAATGGCTGGAGCGGACCCAGAGCAGCTGCGTCGCTTGGCACCGGGCGTGGACCCTGTCCAGACCTTCTTTGCCGTGGATGACGGGCCAAGCCTGGACCGGGCTGTCAGCGGTCTGGCGGCAGCCCTGTGTCAGGCATCCTTCGCTCCTCAGGTTTGGAAGAGGCCTCTGGGGGACTGGGTGGTAGGAAATAAGGGGTCTGGGGGTTCTTGGTACAGATGTTCAACCTCAAAGGGACCCTATGTCCACAGCCCCGGCCAGAGCACTGCCCGGTGTATTGTCCAAAGGTAAGAGTTCCATGGTGAGAGGTGGGTGGAGGCTGCACTTGGGGCTAGCCACTGTGACCTGCATCTGACACGTGTTTCCACAGGGCCAGAAGGGGGAACCTGGAGAAATGGTGAGTACCCCTGAGGGGTGGGGAATAGAGAACTGGACTGAGTGTCAGGTGGGGAGGGGAGGTGGGCAGCGCAGGCCTCACTGATCACTCTTCCCAGGGCCTGAGAGGACAAGTTGGGCCTCCTGGCGACCCTGGCCTCCCGGTGAGTGCCCCCCACATCTGTCCCTGCACCCCAACTGGCTTATCGCCCCCTAACCTGCTCTCTTCTCTCAGGGCAGTACCGGTGCTCCTGGCCCTCAGGGGCCCCCTGGAAGTACCATTGCTAAGGGCGAGAGGGTGAGTGTGGACACCATCAAGGATCCTCTGAGGCACTCCTCAAAGCTGTCTCAAGGATTTTACAAGAGAGAAGGAAGAAGCAGAGTTAGAATCACTGGGAATTCCTAGAAGCCCAGCTGGAGGTTATAAACCACCCTGAGACTTTGGAGGGTAGAAGGGCCAGGGGGGTCTCCGCCCCATGCAGAGCCTGAGTAGCAGCTCGAAGTCCCTGAGGCAGGGAAGCTCTGTCTTGCTGTCCTTGTGCTTGGAATTGGGCTTCCTGCAGCTCTGAGGGGCCACTTCTCTACCTCACTGTTCTACTCCCAATAATACTTAGGAGCCAGTAGGGTAAGGGACCCCTTGTCGATGGGGTGAGGCCCCTCTAGCAAACCAGGAGCCTCGGGGGAGGGTCTCTTCCTGCCCTGACCTCTTCACCTCCTCAGGGCTTCCCTGGAGCAGATGGGCGCCCAGGCAGTCCTGGCCGCCCAGGGACTCATGGGACCCCTGGAGCCCCTGGCCTAAAGGTGAGCAAGCCTTGCCCTGTGGGTCAGGGTGGGCGCTGCCCGAGTGGGCAGGGTGGTTCCGACTATTCCCTCCGTTTGCAGGGCTCCCCAGGGCTGCCTGGCCCTCGTGGGCAACCGGTAAGCTGCCTTCCCTTCTTTGCTCTCAAAGTGTCTCCCCAGGGTTATTCCACAGGATGGGAGCCTGGGGTGGTGGTGGAGTGCCCACGCAGACCCTTGCCTGAGACCAAGCACCACCCTCTGCTCCGTTTTGTCCTCAGGGAGAGCAAGGACCTCGAGGCCCAAAGGGGGAGCCGGTAGGTGGAGGTGGAAGAGAGGCCGCGGGGTTGTCCCAGGGAGGAGCAGGATTGCCCCAAGCCACACCCTGGGCAGGACCTAAGCCATGAATAGAAATAGCTGGGGTACCCCTAGGGGCTTCTTCCAGCTCAGGGCTCCCATATCCTGAATCCTGCCCCCTGCCCTCTATCCTTTCAGGGGCCTCCCGGACAAGTCACTGGAGGCCAAGGACCTGGGCTTCCCGGGCGGAAAGGGGACCCTGGACCATCGGTAAGTCCAGGGTATGTGCGGGCAAGTGATGTGTGCTGGGGAGACCAACAAGAGGGGGCGAGAGTGGGGTCTGTATGGTTGCACCTTATACTTTGTGTCTTCCATCAGGGCCCCCCTGGACCTCTTGGACCACAGGGGGACCCAGGACCCCGTGGCCCCCCAGGGCTACCTGGAACAGCTGTGAAGGTGACAGCCTTATGAGTGTCGTGTGATGCAGAGACCCGGTGACCCCATTTGAATCCACATAACCCCTACCACTTACTCTGGCCCTTGTGACCCTCTGACCACCCCCATCCTCGTCATGATACCTCGGCCATCCCAAGAACCTTGTAATCCAATCGGACCCCACGACCCTCACCCCTCCTGGTATCTTTGGGAGTCCGGTGTGGTCCAGGGTCATGGGGTCATGATCTGTTTTCTAGGGTGACAAAGGCGACCGTGGGGAGCGGGTAAGTCAGGGACAGGCTGTGCTGGGGGTGGCGTGGAGTCAGATTTCCCCGTTAATTCCCTGACCTGCTGTTCTCTCCCAGGGTCCCCCTGGACCAGGTGAAGGTGGCATTGCTCCCGGGGAGCCCGGGCTGCCGGTGAGGGGGCCTTGAGGCCCTGCTGGGGGCCCTGCTCAGGGGTGTGGGACTCTGCTGGGGCAGGGGTTGGGTCCTGGGCTTCATAGTTCTTGGCTTGCATTTTCACTCACTTCCTCCTAGGGTCTTCCGGGAAACCCTGGACCCCAAGGCCCTGTTGGCCCCCCTGGAGAGAAAGGAGAAAAAGTAGGAAGCCTGACTTCATGATGTCCCAGTTCTGTGGTGGGAGGCTGGGTGCTGGGGGCAGGGCCTCCCCTGGGTCTTCCCACCCATGTGTTTCTCCTTCAGGGTGACTCTGAGGATGGAGCTCCAGGTCTCCCAGGACAACCTGGGTCTCCGGGTGAGCAGGTGAGTGGCGGGGTCAGGGGTTCTGCATGTGGTGGCACAGCTCCAGCCCCCACCGCAACCATTCACCACTGCTCCATCCTCATGCTCAGACCCAAATCTCTGAACCCCCAAATTCATCCCTTCCAGGGCCTACGGGGACCTCCTGGCACTACTGGCCCCAAAGTGAGTAGTTCCTGGGGGATTCAGGTGCGAGGGGTGCTCCTGCAGGCTCCCCGTGGTCTTCGGGGAGGCTGGAAGATCAGGAGATAAGAATTCCCTCTAGGTCAGAGGTAGTGGTTTTAGAGGGAGTGGTTGGAATGTGAGACCCCTTGTCTGGGGTTTGACGTTCAAGGCCCCCCGCCCACCCTCCCTCTCTCTGTCTCTCTTACCCTCTCTCTTCAGGGTGATCGGGGCTTTCCAGGGCCTCTGGGGGAGGCTGGAGAGAAGGTAAGTGCAACCTCAGGGGCTTCGAGCGCCCTGTAGGATCTGGGCTCAACTCAGCTCTGGCTTCTGTTCCATCAGGGCGAACGTGGACCCCCAGGCCCCGCGGGATCCCGGGTAAGCCCACTGACTGCAGTGCTCATACCAGCTGACCTGGCGTCTGTGCCCTTTCTGGTTCGAACTTTTTGCCCTTGACCCCCACTGCCCCTGCTCCTCACCCCTCCTTGCATGACCCCTTATCCCTGCTGATACACGCTCTAACCCTCAGCCCCAGGGACCTGGCTTTGAACCTCTGACCCTGCTGAACTGACCTTGACTTTCACTGACCTGATCTCTGTCCTGCCAAGTCTGACCCCTGCCAACCTAAATCCCAATCTTCCCTGAGCCCTCTCCAGCCCCAACCCCAGCCTCTAGCCCTGTCTGCCCACATCCCCCGCCCCCACCCACTGCACAGCTCTTCCCTTCCTCTTCTTCAGGGGCTGCCTGGGGTTGCTGGACGTCCTGGAGCCGAGGGTCCTGAAGTGAGTCCGTGACTGTGGTGGGACTAGGAGTAGGACTTTCGTGTGTCCCTTCCCTTTCCCTTTCCCTTCTGGGCTCACACTTTCTCTACATTCAGGGACCACCAGGACCCACCGGCCGCCAAGGAGAGAAGGTGGGTCCTCGGCTAGGGGTGTTACTGTCTGGTACTAGGGATGTGGCAGGTGGGACACTGGGATCTTAGGCTCCTAAGTGACTCCCTGCCCTGTCCCTGCCCCTATCCTCCCTTCACAGGGGGAGCCTGGTCGCCCTGGGGACCCTGCAGTGGTGGTGAGTGGCAGGAGGACGGGGCTCTGAGCACAGCACAGCCCTTGAGCTGTGACCCTCCTCTAGAACACGGTCTGGGCTGTGATTCCACAGTGCAGTGCTGGGTCCCTGAGTGGGCTCAGAGCTCTGTGGCTCTCCTTCTGCTAAAACCTGCCTCCAGACTCCTGGCTGTGACCCCATGGCCTCCATGCAGGTCATGAGCTCTTTGGGTCAGTCCATTTTATCACCCCTACCCTGCTGTCAGCGGTGACCCTGTGACTTCCGGGCAGAGACTGAGCTGTATGACTTCCAATTCCATGTCACTTCCATTCCAATGAAGACTGTGGCCATACAACTCCCAAGGCAGGGCTAAGTTATATCTGTCCTGTTTGTTTTCAGGGACCTGCTGTTGCTGGACCCAAAGGAGAAAAGGTAAGCCTGGTGTAGGGTGAGGAGAGGTTGCTACAGGGTTGAGGTCTAGGTCACAGGGCCTATCTGTGGGACGTAAGGGTCACAGGACTTGCTGGGTCAGGGGGGTAACTGGAGCCTGGTACTAGCACTGATGGTCTTTGTCACCTCCAGGGAGATGCGGGGCCTGCTGGGCCCAGAGGAGCTACCGGAGTCCAAGGGGAACGGGTAAGTGAAGGGACCGTGTTTAGGGGCGGTTGGTGAAGGCTGTCTTCCTGACTTCTTACCCTTCCATCCACAGGGCCCACCCGGCCTGGTTCTTCCTGGAGACCCTGGCCCCAAGGGAGACGCCGGAGACCGGGTGAATCAATGTGGGGACAGGGAGTGGGACAGAGGGAGAGGAGGTGGTGGGACCCTGACTAAGTCCTGGCCCTCTTCTATCGCCTTCAGGGTCCCACTGGACTCACTGGAAGAGCAGGACCCCCAGTGAGTACCCGTTACCTTGGGCTACCTCCAGGGTTCCAGTCCCCTGCCCTTGAGGGCTGCCTGCTGTGAGTGTCCTGCAGCAATCACCTCCCCCTTCCCTCCTCCACAGGGTGACTCAGGGCCTCCTGGAGAGAAGGGAGACCCTGGGCGGCCTGGAGCCCCAGGACCTGTTGGCCCCCGAGGACGAGACGTAAGAGGCTGGAGTAGGGGGAGTCACAGCGGGCAGGGGAGTAGGGCTGTTGCCAGCATCACGGGGGTTCTTGGGACCAGGGCTTACTCTCACGTTTCACAGGGTGAAGTTGGAGAGAAAGGTGACGAGGGTCCTCCGGTGAGACTCCTTCCCACTGTGGTTTCTGATCTTTTGCCCTTGAACTGGGATCCCAGTAGGCTGGGGACTCCAGCTCAGCCAGTCCACTCCCTGCCTCCTGTCCCCTGCTGCACAAGGCCCTTCTCTGTTCCGTCTCCCGGAGTGAGTGAGATCCTGACCCCCCTGTGCAATATGACCTTTCTCTCTATCACCAGGGTGACCCGGGTTTGCCTGGAAAACCTGGCGAGCGTGGCCTTCGGGTGAGTCTTGGTGGAGAGAAGTAACAGGGGTAAGGGGAGATGGACGTGAAAGTGATAGGAAAGGCTGCGGGGATGGTAAGGGGGGATGGGAGGCATGGGGTGATGGGAACTCTGATGTGGATTGTGGCGTGATGGGGAAGCTGGGGCAGTGGAGGGGGTCATGGGGGCACCTGCAAAATACTGCGAGGGTCTGTCTCAGGCCAGCTGCTCTTCTTAGGGGGCACCTGGAGTTCGGGGGTCTGTGGGTGAGAAGGGAGACCAGGGAGATCCTGGAGAGGATGGACGAAATGTGAGTCCCAACCTATGACTCCTCACCCCGAATTCTGACCCTTCGCCCCCAACCTTAACCCTCTAACCAACCGATTCCCAGTACCTGATCCTACCCCCCAACCCTGGAATGTTAAACCCTCCCGATCTTTACTTCCTGTGGCCTGAAGGAAGCCAACATTCCCATGAGTCCTCATGGTACTTCCAAAGCTACCCCAAACTGCTCCTTGCCCTGAGTGGCCCTGACCCCGGCCTTTCTGCAGGGCAGCCCTGGACCATCTGGATCCAAGGGTGACCGTGGGGAGCCGGTGAGTGGGGCTGGCGTCCTGGGCTCAGAAGGGATGGAGGGTCCCCTGCGCTGCTGCCGGTGCTCTGGTCAGCGTTCACATGAGGGGCCTGGAGGTCAAGGTGGGAAGCACGGATGGCCACCCCAGGCCCGGCCTGCCTGCTGGGCTGGCATTGGGGTGCTTCAGGGAATTTGGGGGCAGAGATGAGCCTGGGACAAACCGGAGTCAAGCCCTGGGACCTGAGGGCTCCTGTTGATTACAGTCATTTCCTTTTTCAGGGTCCCCCAGGACCCCCAGGACGGCTGGTAAGGGCTGTACCGGGTCTGGTTCTCTGTCATCACCCTCACTTGCCCCTTTGGCTCCACGTCATGTCCCCTCCTTCTTTCCACCGACTCCCAGTTCCCCCACTGCCCCTCTGAAACCTCACAGTCCCTGTCTCGCCTCACCAACCCCTCTTCCCCTTGCTGAGCCACTCTTCTCACTGGTCATTTGCCCAACAGGTAGACACAGGACCTGGAGCCAGAGAGAAGGTATAGGGTCTGTGGGGGGAGCGGAGGAAAGACCCAGTGTCCCTCCTGACAGGTTCTGTCTTGGGCATGCCTTGGCTCCAAGGCTGTTCCTCAGCGAACTTGTCTCTGCCACAGGGAGAGCCTGGGGACCGCGGACAAGAGGGTCCTCGAGGGCCCAAGGGTGACCCTGGCCCGCCTGGACCCCCTGGGGAGAGGGTGAGTGTGGTTGGTCCGGGGGAATGCAGGCCTAGGGGGTGCGGGCCCTCCCAGGCCTGCTCTGACTTCTTCCTCCCCTGTCCTCAGGGCGTTGATGGGCTTCGGGGACCCCCAGGCCCACAGGTGAGTAACGCACTTCGCCCCGTCTGCCAAGTCCCCCTCTTGCCTTCACCTCTTATCTGACCCTGTTCCCTCCAGGGGGACCCTGGTGTCCGAGGCCCAGCAGGAGAAAAGGTGAGAGGGTGTGGAGTTTCCTCAGGACGTGAGCCTGGGTTCTCAGACCCACCTCGGCCTTGGCGGCCTCTTACCACTTTATTTTCCTCAGGGTGACCGGGGCTCCCCTGGGCTGGATGGCCGGAGCGGGCTGGATGGGAAACCAGGAGCCCCCGGGTCCCCTGGGCTGAACGTGAGTCTTGGTAGTCCCTGCCTGGTTTTCCCCTTCCACTGCGCCTTCACATGAGGGCCTAGACCCCAGCCTCGTTGGGTGGTCTTGGCCTTGCCGAGCTCTGGAGCCACACGTGCTGTCTGTGTCTTCAGAGCCCTGCCTGGGTGCGGTGCGTCGTTGCCACGCAGGTCTTGGGCTCACAGGGACTAGAGCCCCTGACCCCATGACCGTGATGAACTGACTTTGAGTCTCTCCTCAGGGTGCTACGGGCAAAGCCGGGGACCCGGGGAGAGATGTAAGTGAAGGGAGATGCCGGGCAGAGGGGCTCGGGGCCTGCAGAAGCTCCGGCCAGGTCATCATAGTCACCGCATCAGAGAGGGGATGGGAGTTGGTTCAGCCTTGTCTTTGGGAGGGGCCTCGGTCCCTGACAGACAGGTTTTAATAGAACCCCCCTTTCTGACCTTCTTTGCCTTGGGGGTCTTAATAGGCCCTCCAAATTCTTGGTGTTCTTCCCTTGGGAGTCTCACTAGGATCCCCCCAACCCCTGGGGTCTGTGCCTGAGGGATCTCAGTGGGACCTCTAGGTCCTAAAGGTTTCTACCCTGGAGGGAAATCCTATGGGGATCTTCTAGTCCATGGGGTGTGCCGCACGGGATATCTCCGAGGCCCTGTCAATCTTAACAAAGACTTTTTCCAGGGGCTTCCAGGCCTCCGTGGAGAACAGGGCCCCCCTGGCCCCTCTGGTCCCCCTGGATTACTGGTGAGTTCAAACTTTCATGCTACCCGCTTTACCCCTTACTACCCTCACCCTATCCCCAACATCTGACCAATGATCTGTTCCCACAGGGAAAGCCAGGCGAGGATGGCAAACCTGGCCTGAATGGGAAAAACGTGAGTGTGTCCAGGGCAGCTGTGGCAAAACCTGCCAAGAAACAGCAGCACACGTACACAGCCGAGATCTGAGCAGCACACAGGGCACACATGCAGACACAGGCATCCTGGCCCAGACATACAGATGCATCCAGAAACATAGTTCTTTTTTGTTTTGAAATGTGTTTCACTCTTGCTGCCCAGGCTGGAGTGCAATGGTGCAATCTCCGCCCACTGCAACCCCCGCCTCCTGGCTTCAAGCAATTCTCCTGCCTCAGCCTCCTGAGTAGCTGGGATTACAGCCATGTGTCACCACGCCTGGCTAATTTTTTGTATTTTTAGTAGAAACAGGGTTTCTTCATGTTGGTCAGGCTGGTCTCGAATTGACCTCAGGTGATCCGCCCACCTCAGCCTCCGAAAGTGCTGAGATTACAGGCGTGAGCCACCGCACCCGGCCTGGAAACATAGTTTCATATGCACACACGGGTAGCCTCACAGACATATAGGGAGTTAGGTGAATGGGTCAATTTGTGCCAGGATGGGCCAACACATGCCCAGATAACCCACCGCCACAGGCACAGGTGAAGAGCCACAGACAGGTCGACAGGCGCAAACACACTGGTTTGAAGCCACGTTTGGGGCACTTAGAGACATGTTGACACCCAGACACTTTTACCCAGACTCAGATATGTGCTATCTGACACACAGACCCAAGACCACATGTAGACCTCTGCCGAGTCGTGGTGAGTCACACATTGATGGCTCTGATCTGTGACATGTGCTGGCACATGACTTTATATCACCACCCATACACCTATGGTCACACACATTGAGCTACACACAGGAGTTGCAGACAGATGCCAAGACATACAGCTCTCAAGGCACTGGGGGCCTGTGGCGACATGTACAAGCCCATGCCCACATGCAGACATGGGCCAAGACGTACAGACAGACCCAGACACATAGACCCACGGGGATGTATGCTAAGACACACATGGATATGCACACACCCAGGACATGTGGACAGTCACCAGCCGAGAGACACAAAAAAGTGGAGCTGCCTCTGGAGAGCCAGAGACAGAGGACATGTGTGCAGTTGCCTGGTGAGCAGACACACCCTTAGACATGCAGCAGCTCACTCCGACAGCCACAGGCCATGCTCCAAGGCATGCAGAGCCATGGAGCTACAGGCGCAGACATACAGTCACAGTCATCTAAAATCTGCCAAGATAGTGTCTTGCAGCCAGACATCAGTGAACGTTTGGGCTGATGTGAGTCCTCTGCCCACAGGGAGAGCCTGGGGATCCTGGAGAAGACGGGAGGAAGGTAAAGTCCCCGACCTGGGGCCTCTCTGGTCTCTGCTTGGAGCCACATCTGAAGTATCCTTGTCTTCCTTAGGGAGAGAAAGGAGAGTCAGGTGCCCCTGGGAGAGAAGTGAGTGTTGGAGTTTTCTGCAACCTCTGACCCTGACCCGGGGGGATATGACTCCACTCTTTTCTGAGGTCTGAGCATCCTGATGCTGGCTGTATCCTCCACAGGGTCGTGACGGTCCCAAGGGTGAGCGTGGACCTCCTGGTATCCTTGGACCCCAGGGCCCTCCAGGCCTCCCAGGACCAGTAGGCCCTCCTGGCCAGGTGAGTGTCCTGGGTCATTCTGGGATTTGAGAGCATTAGAAGCCATTGTGTTTCTATGGGCAACCCTCTCGGACAGCCATGGGCCTGTGTGACTCCTGTGTGTTCTGCTGTATCTCAGGGTTTTCCTGGCATCCCAGGAAGCACCGGCCCTAAGGTGAGTGTGCATATGTTGGGTATGGGGTGCAGTGAGGGGTTGACCAGACTGGGGCATATTTCCCCACCTGGTCATTCTTGTTTTCAGGGTGACCGTGGGGAGACTGGATCCAAAGGGGAGCAGGTGAGGCCCCCACCTTTTCCACATGCCCAGGTAGCCACAGCACCCAGATATGCACACGCATGCCCCATAGGCTGGTTCCTAGCAGCTTGTCTCCATCGCTCTAGGGCCTCCCTGGAGAGCGCGGCCTGCGAGGAGAGCCTGGAAGCCCGCAGGTGAGCCAGGCTTGGAGCCTCTCCTTGACTCTGTTTTGCCTGCCGGTGGGGATCACCGCTCCATCCCCTTCCCCTTGCCACGAGGCTCCATGGGTTCTATGCTATGTGTTCAGTGACCTGCCCCATTGGGGTTCTGGTAGCCCACACTCAAGGGAACTTGGGCAGTGGGGACATGCCACGGAGGGGCTCCCGGGGTCTCCAGCTGTGCCTCAACCAAGTGCTAAAGGGTGCTGTGGGCAAGAGGCCTGGGGAAGAGGGTACGGAAGTGTTTTCCTGAAGCCGCGCTGGGCAGAAGGCAGGAGCTTCTCCTTCAAGAGCAGCCCTTCACCCAGCCTTTGTCCCCAGAATGTGGAGCGGTTGCTGGAAACTGCTGGCATCAAGGTGGGTTGTTTCGGGGCTGGCGGTGGGGGCAGGTGGGGGCCCCTGGGGCTAGTGGTGCTCATAGGCATGGGGGCTGCGGCGGAACACCCCACTCCTCTGACCTCTTGCTGTCCCTCAGGTGTCTGCCCTGCGGGAGATCGTAGAGACCTGGGACGAGAGCTCTGGCAGCTTCCTGCCTGTGTCTGAACGGCGTCGAGGCCCCAAGGGGGACCCGGGCGAGCGAGGCCCCCCAGGGAAGGAGGTGAGCAGAGGCGGCTCAGTGGGTGAGCCCTGTGGGGGTGTATCCGTGCAAGCCACCAGTATTCCCTCTTCCACCCCTGCAGGGCCCCATTGGCTTTCCTGGAGAACGCGGGCTGAAGGGAGACCGTGGAGACCCTGGCCCTCAGGGGCCACCCGGCCTGGCCCTTGGGGAGAGGGGCCCCCCTGGACCTCCTGGCCTTGCCGGGGAGCCTGGAAAGCCTGGTATTCCCGGGCTCCCAGGCCAGGCTGGGGGTGTGGGAGAGGCAGGAAGGCCAGGAGAGAGGGTGAGCCTGCGGGCTGGCGGGGAGAGTGAGGGAAGAGGGGTTGGGAAGGGTGGGACCCCCATGGACTTGGTCCTCACTGGCTCTTTGCATTTCAGGGAGAACGGGGAGAGAAAGGAGAACGTGGAGAACAGGTGGGCTGTGACGGGCTCTGTGGGGCAGGGCTGCCTGGGGGCTGTGCTGGGGCTGCCATCCCATTTTCTTGTTTCCTACAGGGCAGAGATGGGTCTCCTGGCCTCCCTGGAATCCCTGGGCCCCCTGGACCTCCTGGCCCCAAGGTGATCACCCCAACCCTGCCCTAGGCCTATGACTGGTGACCAGGAAGCCACCCTTAGCTTGGGCCTCTAGAAATTCTGTGATCCTGAGATCTGTGATGACCCCGTCATGCCTCTGTGACAGAGACATCTCTCCCCCGTGACCTTGTGCTTGTAGGTGGCTGTGGATGGGCCAGGTCCTGGAGTTTCTGGAGAACAGGGACCCCCTGGACTCAAGGGTGCTAAGGTCAGTGTGTGGGATCAGCTCTGGGCCACCCTCCGCCATGGCACTAGGGACTGACTTGACATCTTATCCCCACAGGGGGAGCCGGGCAGTGATGGTGACCAAGGTCCAAAAGGAGACAGGGTGAGGCCTCTCCCCACCCTTGCATAGAGTCCCTCTCCTGTCTGGGGGCCCACTAGGAGTGGTGTGCGTATGCACATGAACACATGGCAGGGACTGGGGGCTCAGGGCATGACATTCTGCCTGCAGGGTGTGCCAGGTGTCAAGGGAGACCGGGGAGAGCCTGGACTGAGGGGTCAGGATGGCAACCCAGTAAGTCCTTGCCCGACAGCCACATGTGCAATAAGGTGGCTCTCACATATGTTGTCCTGTGTGCAGGGCTGGAATCTGCACTGCCTGGGGCTGTCTGGGTCCTGACTCTGTCTGGGGGATGGTGGGTGGAGGGGAAGTTGCAACTGGGAAACTGAAGCCTTAAACCTGTTCTCTGCAGGGTCTACCAGGAGAGCGCGGTGTGGCTGGGCCTGAAGGGAAACCGGTGAGTGGTGGCTGAAGCAGCTGGCCCAGGCTCTGGATCCCTCCGCTAGGTGCTGCTGCCTCTGCTGAGTGTGCCTATCCGTGTGTGTGTGTTTGAGTGTGGGCCTGTCTGTGTGTGCTGTGTCTGTGTGTGCTGTGTCTGTGTGTACCTGTGTCTGTGTGTGTCTGTGTGTGCCTCTGTCTGTGTGTGCATGTTTGGGTGTGGGCCTGTCTGTGTGTGCTGTGTCTGTGTATGCCTGTGTGTGCTGTGTCTGTGTGTACCTGTGTCTGTGTGTACCTGTGTGTGTGCGCCTGTGTGTGTGTGTGCTGTGTCTGTGTGTGCCTGTTTCTCTGTGTGGCTGTGGCTGTCTGCCTCTGTGTGTGTGTGTGTGCGTGAGATTGTGTGTGCAGGCCCACGTGTGCTATCTATGAGAGGCAGTCCATGGGTATGCATTATCTGTTCCTGGAAAGGGTGGAGTATGGAAATTAACCCCAAGGTAAAAGCCCCCAGAGGCTGAGCACACCCCAAGTGAGGTCCAGACTGGGGCTCATCAGCACCCTCTCTATGCAGGGTCTGCAGGGTCTAAGAGGCCCCCCTGGCCCAGAGGTGAGTACTCAAGAATCTTCACTTCTCCTGCCCCCATCCTGTACCCTGCCCCAAGAGCAGTACTGCCTCAGTTTTCCTGGTGGTGTGAGGCTAACTCCCCCTCATCAGACTATTTCCCCAACAGGGTGGCCGTGGAGACCCTGGACCGCCTGGTGCCCCGGTGAGTGACCAGGGCGTCCTGCCTGGTGAGAGTCTGGAAGGGCTGGAACAGCCACTGGCCACTGCTGATGAGCCAGGCCTTCTCTGTGTTAATCCCTGAGCCCTGTTCCCTGCCCTTGTCCCTTTTCTCTAGGGTCTTGCTGGCCCTGCAGGACCCCAGGGACCCTCTGGCCTGAAGGTGAGTCTAGGTGTGTGGCTGGCAGGAGGAGGCTCCTTTGAGCCAGGTCCACGCCCGGGGGAGTGTACGCCGACCTCCCGGGCTGTCATCTTCTGCGTGAGGCTGCGCTCCAGCAGTCCTGGCCACGTGGGCTCTGCTCACGCAGTCTCTGGGTCATTTGCAGGGGGAGCCTGGAGAAACAGGACCCCCAGGACGGGTGAGTGGCCCAGCTCACAGGTTATGGTCATAGGGAGATGGGTGGGGTTGGCACTGCCCTGAACTTTCTCTTCCTCCAGGGCCTGCCTGGACCTACCGGAGCTGTGGGGCTTCCTGGTCCCCCTGGGCCTTCAGGCCTTGTGGTGAGTGAGGTCCTGTGGCCCCCGCAGGGACATTGTGTTTTCACCCCTTGGGGCCCATGTTCTCTCATGTCCTCCAGTGTCCCTTGTCACCCTGACACCCGACTTGTTCTCCCTCAGGGTCCACAGGGGTCTCCAGGTTTGCCTGGACAAGTGGTGAGTTCTGAGGGTCAAGGGTTGGGCTCCAGGGGTCAGGGTCCAGCAGGCAGCCCTGACAGAGCTCCTCCCTCTCAGGGGGAGACAGGGAAGCCGGGAGCCCCAGGTCGAGACGGTACCAGTGGAAAAGACGGAGACAGAGGGAGCCCTGGGGTGCCGGTATGTGTTCGGCTCGCTGCGGGTCTGCTGTGGGGCGCAGTGCCCGGCTGTGGACCCGAACTGTGAGGAGTGGGGCAGCGGGGTGCTGGTGGAGAGACCCTGAGATCCTTACGCTGCTCTGCCACAGGGGTCACCAGGTCTGCCCGGCCCTGTCGGACCTAAGGGAGAACCTGGCCCTCCGGGGGCCCCTGGACAGGTGATCTTTGACCCTGACTTCCACCCCCCACAGCAACTCCTCTGCCTCACCCGCAAGCCTGTTTCCAAAAGCCGCGGGCGTGGCAGGGTGGGGGCAGCGGGGAGGAGGCAGTAACTCACCAGCATTCCCCACAGGCTGTGGTTGGGCTCCCTGGAGCAAAGGGAGAGAAGGTGAGTGTGTGCAGGGGGGCCAGGGAGGGGGGCCAACGGGTGGGAGCCAAGGAATCCCACCGACCCCTCCCTGTTACCAGGGTGCCCCTGGAGGCCTTGCTGGAGACCTGGTGGGTGAGCCGGTGAGTGGGGAACTTCTGACAGCAGAAGTTCTGGGGGTCCTGTCTCTCGGGTGGCCCAACTTCTGACCTTGACCCATAGTTTACCCACCCTCATGACCCTCGGTTTTCATAATAGACCCCGTATTTGAGCCCTAGCCTCATGCATCCCTGAGTCTCATGTCTGTGACTGATGCCTACGTTGCCTCCTGTCCTCTGTCAACAGGGAGCCAAAGGTGACCGAGGACTGCCAGGGCCGAGAGGCGAGAAGGTGAGGTGGGCTGGCCCCGGGCCTAAGCACTGGGCAGAGAAGGCTCAGGCCAGACACCCCTCACCGGCCATTCTGTGCAGGGCGAAGCTGGCCGTGCAGGGGAACCCGGAGACCCTGGGGAAGACGTGAGTCTGGGGCCCGGGCAAGGGCGAGCCTGGCCTGAGGAGTGCAACGGTGGGCGTGAGGGGCCACTCTTGGGCCTGGGCACACGTCTGAGCCCCTGAGTTGGGCCGCATGCCCACACCTTGTTGGCTTCCACACTCTGAGCTCGGGGGGCCCTCTCTTGGCTTCCGTGTGCCCATCTTTGATCTTCTGCTCCTCACCACATCTGGGCACACATATGTGCTCTCATCTGGTCTCCTGGGTCCCAGGACGCACCTGAGTTCCTGTGAACCTCTCTTTGGTCCTGTGTTTTCAGTCTTCCTTTTCCCTGCCCCTGCCTGCCAGAGTTCAGCCTGTGACCACGCTCGCTCTCCCCAGGGGGTGGACATGTTTGCATTCCCTTCTGAGCGCCCGTGTACCTGCGCTCCCGTCTGTGGAGCCAGGTGTCTGCGCTCGTGTGCGCGCTCCACGTGCCTGTGGTCATGCCTGAACTCCCGCCTGTCTGTGGTCATATCTGCGTGTCCCTCTGTCTGTGCCCTCCTGAGACAGGCCGTGGTCACATGTCTGAGTTCCCCTGCGTTCATGATCACATCTGAGCTCCCCTGGGAATACTTCTGGGCCATGGCTGAGCTCTGTGCTCATGCTCCTACCCTCTGAAATGCTGTTTGCTGTTGTTTTTTTTAGGGTCAGAAAGGGGCTCCAGGACCCAAAGGTTACAAGGTATGTGGACCCAGAATAGTCCCTGCTGGGGTCCTGGTCCTGAGACTCCATGAGCTTGATCTGATGCCTCTTTTCCTCAAAGGGTGATCCAGGAGTTGGGGTCCCAGGCTCCCCTGGGCCACCTGGCCCTCCAGGTGTGAAGGTAAGTCAATGCCCTATCACCAGTTGTGGGGGCATCGGGTTGGACGGCCGCTGGAGGTAGGAGGAAGAGGGAGCTCTGCTGAGACCTGGGAGGGGTCCTGCAGTGACCATTCTCTCCTTTGCTGTGTTTATTTCAGGGAGATCCGGGCCCCCCTGGTGCCCCTGGTGCTCCTGGTGTTGTTGGATTTCCAGGTCAGACAGGCCCTCGAGGAGAGATGGGTCAGCCAGGCCCTAGCGGAGAGCGGGTAAGGGGCTGGGAGCAGCATGTAGGCGCCTGATGAATCTGTGGTGGGTGAGGAGGAGGCCCTGCCTAGGGGGTTCCCAGTCTTGAGGGGGCAGAGGGTAGGAGGGTTCCCAAGTCACTGTCTGCCTCTCTTGCCCCATTTTTCTGGTAGGGTCTGGCAGGACCCCCAGGGAGAGAAGGAGTCCCAGGCCCCTTGGGGCCACCTGGACCACCGGGGTCAGTGGTGAGTAGAGGTGCCCTAAAGCCCCACTTGTTTGATTGCCTGTCCTTGCGAGGACTTATGATGGGGGCCGGGCCATACTGTGGGGTGCTGGGGGAGGCGCTTTGAAAGTCACAGGACCCTCACCTCACTCTGACCCACAGGGACCACCTGGGGCCTCTGGACTCAAAGGAGACAAGGTAGGTGGGACACGTGCTGCTGGCTGTCTCCTTTGCCCTCGTCACCCACTCCAGCCTCCACTCACCTCCCATGACCCTGTGTCCCCCACTGATTCCCCTCATTGATCTCTGGTGTCCTGTTGGTCTCTAGGGAGACCCTGGAGCAGGGCTGCCCGGGCCCCGAGGCGAGCGCGGGGAGCCAGGTGTCCGGGTACGTGCGTCCTGCTCCACAGCCGGGAGCTCCATCTCCCTTCATCCCGCTCTTGCCTCTGACTTCCAACCTCTGAGTCAGTGAACCTAATGTCACCATCCAGGGTGAAGATGGCTACCCCGGCCAGGAGGGACCCCGAGGACTCACGGTGGGTCCCGCTGGGGAAAGTGCCAGTGGTGTGACTTCAGTCCCCTGCCTGTGCCCTCTGTGCCCCAGGACTCTCTGCCATCCTCCCTAGGCTTCTGGTCCTCCTCGTCTAACCCTGTCCCCTTTGTCTGGTCCCCACTGTTTCCCTCCTCCCCTGGACCCCCCTCTGTCCTCCACTGCCCCAGTTCCTGTAGCTCACGGATGCCTTCTCTCACACAGGGGCCCCCTGGCAGCCGGGGAGAGCGTGGAGAGAAGGTAGGAATACGGGAAAGTTCTGGCGTGAATGGGGTGGGTGAGCAGATATTAGAATTCAGGCCAGGGACTCCCCAGTTTGGGCGGGACTCACACTCTTTCACCCAATAGGGTGATGCTGGAACCGCAGGATTAAAGGGCGACAAGGTGAGTGTGGGTGTGGAGAGGGCAGAGCAGGGGCCAGGGTGCTCCCGACTCCTCTGACTCCTGCCTGTCCCCTCAGGGAGACTCGGCTGTGATCCTGGGGCCACCGGGTGCCAAGGGGGACATGGTGAGTAGGCCCACATGCAGACTGGGTCTCCCCTGGGTGTGGGACGATCCCCGTGGGACTGGCCCAGGGTATCTGGGAGCTAAACCTCCAGAGGGTGAGGGACCTTCAGCCCCTTACCGTGACTTCTTACCCAACCCAGGGTGAACGAGGGCCCCGGGGCTTGGACGGTGACAAAGGACCTCGGGGCGACAATGGGGACCCTGGTGACAAGGTACAGGGAAGAGGGTGGTGTACTCTCCGTGGGGTCCTGTGGCTGTGGGGGTTTCACAGCATCTGTAAGGGCAGGAGGGGAGGAGGGGGCTTTCTGGGGCTCAGTGGGACGGGTTCTGTGGCTGACTGGAGTGGATGGGGGGGGTCTGGGGGTCAAGGTCTTGGTGTGAGGTTGGGAGGAGAGCTCTGTGGACTGGCCCTATGAGGGGCCTGTAGGGACAGGAAGGGGGCTCCGATTCTTGGGTGTCCCCATCTGAAGGTGTTTCAGATGGGAGGGGGAACCCAGTGGTAAGAGGGAGGAGCAAGAGTCTGGGGTCCTTGGGGTGAGAAATGAGCCAGTTTGTGGACCACAGCCCCCAGCTCCACCCTGCTAGGCATGGGCTTGGAGGGACGCGCGGCTGGGGCCAGTTGGCAGTGACTGAGCTCTTCCCCAGCTGGCCGGCTTGTTGTATTCCAAGCCCCCAGCCTGGTCTGGTCCTGATCACGTCCCTCTCCTGGTTACTCCTACAGGGCAGCAAGGGAGAGCCTGGTGACAAGGGCTTGGCTGGGTCACCAGGACTTCGTGGACTCCCGGGACCCCAGGCAAGTCCTGCCCCAGGCCCAGGCCCAGGTCCAAGGCCAGCATCTCACACACACACCTATCCTGGGAGTCCTCTGAGTGCCAGGGGTCCTGGCTCCCTCGCTGTTGGCCCCATGCGTGTTTACCCGGGATCTGTGTGTGTCCTGGGCCCCGGCCACTGAGCATCTGAGTGGCCACACATGCAGTGGATAGGCCAGTGTGGGGGACAATCCCACTGAAGGGCTCCCCCATCTATTTCTCACAGGGTCAACCTGGTGCAGTAGGGATCCCTGGTGACCCGGTAAGATGCCCCTGCTCCCCCAGGGTCCCCTGTCCCCACAGGGCCCCCATCGTGATGGTGGTCCCGCTGATGTGGTACCCTTTGACCTAACAGTGACCCAGTGCTCTCACGGTGTACTCATGTTGCCCAGGGTCCCCCACCTCCACAGTAGCCCCCTATGAAGGTGTCCCCTACCCATGGAGACCCTTGTCCCCTGCCTATAGTGACCCCTGTCCCCATGGCAAGCCCCAGTGGCTCTGGCCTCCAGAGGTGACTCCCACACCATGGTGTCCTCTACTCACTATCCAGGGTGATTCTCTTTGGTCCCTCACTGACCTCCTCTGACCTCACATGGACCCTCTCCCTGCTAGGGATCCCCAGGAAAGGATGGAGTGCCTGGTATCCGAGGAGAAAAAGGAGATATTGGCTTCATGGGTCCCCGGGGCCTCAAGGTAGGACAGAAACAAGATTGTTTTTTGTTTTTATTTTCTGGTCAGGAAGGCCTAATGTTGAAGGGCGAGGGGCTTGGGGTCCGATGTTAGGGTACGGGGTCAGAGGCTGAAGTGTCGGGCCTGTCTGGAGAGTTGGTTTCAGAGTGAAGGGGTCACAGGGTGGGATGTCTGGGAATCACTTCACCTGCTTTTCTCCCTCAGGGTGAACGGGGGGTGAAGGGAGCCTGTGGCCTTGACGGAGAGAAGGGAAACAAGGTACAGAGGGGATGGGGCTGGGCGCTATGGGGCCTGGGGCTTAAGTCTCACCCCACTTTGATGCCTGCAGGGAGAAGCTGGTCCCCCAGGTCGCCCCGGGCTGGCAGGACACAAAGGAGAGACGGTGAGTGTGGGCACTCTTAGAATGAGGGGGCAACGGGTGGACTGGGCCAAGCTCATGTCTTTTTTTCTCCAGGGGGAGCCTGGTGTGCCGGGCCAGTTGGGGTCCCCTGGCAAGGAGGGCCTGATCGGTCCCAAGGTACAGGGTCTGTGGACAGTAGACATGATGGGGGGTCAGGATGGGCAGGAAAGCTCACAGTCATGTCATGGGGGTGTAGGGACGAGGAAGGCTGTGGTGGGTTGGGACTTTGCGGGATGAAGTGGGGCTGGTCCTGAGGTTTCAAGGGGGTTGGGGTCACAGTGGAGTTAGGATGAAAGCACGGGAGGTGGAGGGGGCATGGGCATCAGGGCAGGGGGTTAGAGTGGAGTTGGGGTCATGGGGACCACATGTGGTGGGCTCACAGGTGCTTGGGTAACAGAAGGTTTGGGCATTGGGCCAGGGAGCTCATGGGAGTTCAGGGAGGTTCCAGAGCTGAGGGAAATCAGGGTAGAAGGTCTCTCATGCTTCTTCCATTCCCAGGGCGACCGAGGCTTTGATGGGCAGCCAGGCCCCAAAGGTGACCAGGGTGAGAAAGGGGAACGGGTGAGTTGAGGCCACGGTCATGGTGAATTGAGGGGAGCATGCCCTTTGGGAGAGGGTCCATCTTTGGGACCTCTGATTACTGACTCTGTCCTGTCTCTCTCCAGGGACCCCCAGGAATTGGGGGCTTCCCAGGCCCCAGGGGCAATGATGGTTCTGCTGGTCCCCCGGGGCCACCTGGCAATATTGGTCCCAGAGGCCCCGAAGGACTTCAGGGCCAGAAGGTAAGGAGCCCCAGTTCTGACTCCTGACTACTGAACCTTCCCTACCCTTCCGACCTCGTAACCATCCTCCAGGCTGCCTGCCCCAACCTCTGAAGCTGTGACCCTCAACCTGCCTGACTCCTGACCCCCACTGCCTCTGACCCTGCTCACTTGGTCTCTGTGTCTGACAGGGTGAGCGAGGTCCCCCTGGAGAGAGAGTAGTGGGGGCTCCTGGGGCCCCTGGAGCCCCTGGCGAGAGAGGGGAGCAGGTAAGTAGGGATCCCTGGGCTTGGATCAGAGATTGGGGTGAACTCTGTTGTCCCTGAGATAGAGGTCACAGCCTGGTCCTATCTGTTGGACACAGGGGCGGCCAGGGCCTGCTGGCGCCCGAGGTGAGAAAGGAGAAGCTGCACTGACGGTGAGCATGGGCCTGGGTGGCCTGGGTGGCCTGGGTGGCCTGGGTGGGCTGGGGCCCTGCCTCCCTCACCCAGCACCCTGACCCCTGACCCCTGGGCCCTGGCTCCATGTGGTTCCTCCATGGTCCCTGCATTATTCGCCCTCTGTCCTTCCTGTGAGCCATGGGTTCTTCATGGTCCCCTTGGTCTTCTGCTCCCAGGAGGATGACATACGGGGCTTTGTGCGCCAGGAGATGAGTCAGCACTGCGGTGAGTGGGGCCCAGGCTGCAGTCTCCCGGGTTCCACTCCTGCCCCACCCCAGCGCCCTCGGCAAGGGCAGGCAGGCCCCTAGAACTTACAGGGCAAGCAGTCAAGGAGATGGGGGGATGGGTGGATACACAGAAGGACACACATGCTGCAGGACTAACACATGACATGTATCCCCAGTGGAGGAGACACACAGGCAGATGAGGATTGCCACCCAGTGTTCTGGGATGTCCAGCTTGGCTGTGTGGGGAGCGGGATGATGGTGGGAGCAGAGCTGGTCCCCTTGGGCCTGACCCGGACCCGGTGGGATATGATGACTCTGAGGGGCATCAGAGTGAGGCTGTCTCTTCCCGTCTCTGTACCGCCTGCCTGTTTCTGAGGCTGGCCTGCCTCTGTCTCATGCCTTTTGCTGACCTGTTCCCAACTTCCCTCTTCTCTGCCTTCTTCTCTTTTTCCATCTCTCTGTCCACCTCCCACCCTCTCTCTTCCTCTCTCCTGTCTGTCACTCTCTCCTGCTGTCTCTTTATGTATTTCTCCCCCTCTGCGTGTGTCTCTCTCTCTCCATCTTCCCGTCCTTCTCTCTGTCATTGTCTCTCTACCCCTGTCTGCCCCCTCTAGCCTGCCAGGGTCAGTTCATCGCATCTGGATCGCGTGAGTAGTTTTCTACTCCCAGAACTTTCTTCACCCCAGGCCCCGTCCTGCCTATCACCTGGGTCCTCTTAGTGGGGTTGGCTGGGATGGCTACCCATGGTGACCCCAGGGCTCTGAGGCCCCTGCTCTTGGCCCCAGGACCCCTCCCTAGTTATGCTGCAGACACCGCGGGATCCCAGCTCCATGCTGTACCTGTGCTCCGGGTCTCTCATGCAGAGGAGGAAGGTGAGGACAGCTGAACCCGTGGGGTGGGGGTGGGTGTGGGTGGGGCCCAGACATGCCCATGGGTGCCCATGCATCCAGGACACATGCCAAGCACATAGGGTCTGCATGCAGGACACATGCATGGGCTCTCTGTGCACGCATGGGAGATGGGTGCTGCCCACCTCGCCCCGGGGCCGGCAGCCCCTGCTCCTAGCACACCCTGCCTTACCTGCAGAGCGGGCGCCGCCACAGGACGATGAGTACTCTGAATACTCTGAGTATTCTGTGGAGGAGTACCAAGACCCTGAGGCCCCTTGGGATGATGATGGTGAGAATGGGGGGCTGCACTCAGCAGAGCTTGGGGAGGGGCAGGCAGAGCTGATCTCTGCTGACCTCCCACTGACCTTTCAACCCTCTCTGATTCCCACCACCCCTGCTAACTTGTCGGCATTGGCCAGACCCCTGCTCCCTGCCGCTGGATGAGGGTTCCTGTACCGCCTACACCCTGCGCTGGTATCATCGGGCTGTGCCAGGTGGCACAGAGGCCTGTCATCCTTTTGTCTATGGTGGCTGTGGAGGGAATGCCAACCGTTTTGGGACCCGTGAGGCCTGCGAGCGCCGCTGCCCGCCCCGGGTGGCCCAGAACCAGGAGACAGGTATGGGCTGAGCCCCCCACAGTAGGAGACTGGGCACTGAGCCTACTCGGGTTCTTGGGGAGGAGTCCTTGGGCCAGGGTCCCAGGTCAGGGTCCTGGGGGAGATGCTCCCTCAGACTAGGGGACCTGGGGCAGACGCCCAAGCCAAAGAGCTGAATATAAAGCCCCAGCTGTGGAGCCCCCAGTAGGGTCCCCTTCCATGTTCCTTCCTAAGTATGGACCCCTCTGAGGTCAGAACCCCACTTCCTGCTGTAGCGTCACCTCCCTCCCCATGGGCTCCTCTGTCTGGGCGTCTCTGGGTAAGGTCAGATGGCTGACAACTGTTTCCAACCTGTCCTCACCAGGTGCTGCCCGGAGCTGAGGCCCAGATTATGAGCTGACATTCAGCGTCCCCTGGAGGAGTCGGGGTCTCCGCAGAACCCTGGTGCCCCTCCTCTTGGTGCTAGAGGCTCGTGTGCACGTGAGCGTGCGTGTGCATGTCCGTTATTTCAGTGACTTGGTCCCATGGGTCTAGCCATCCCCCCTGTGGACAAACCCCCATTGTGGCTCCTGCCACCCTGGCAGATGACTCACTATGGGGGCTGGCTGTGGGCAGTGAGCGGATGTGACTGGCGTCTGACCCGCCACTTGACCCAAGCCTGTGATGACATGGTGCTGATTCTAGGGGGCATTAAAGCTGCTGTTTTAAAAGGCTCCTGTTGTGACTGTTTGGGAAGATGGGGGTGTTAGGGGGGAAGGTTTTCGCTGGGGGGGTCAGTACTATTCTGCATGGGTACAAAGTCCCTCTGCCCAGACCTGGTCACTGCCTTGTGATTCTCAGTCCCCAACTTGTCCTCAGAAAGGAGTAGATAGGGTGGGAGCTAAGGATGTGTCCTCACTGCCCCCCAGGAGGGATGAGTCATAGGTGGGGGGCTGTCTCATGCCAGGAAGCATGTCCCAGCTCCTACCCCAGGGGCTGAGGGCGATAAATGGGCCCTGAAGTGGGGTAGAGGGTCAGACCAGAGGACAGCATTGCCTGGCCCCAGCCCCAGGCAGCCACAGCAGTCTGACTGACTCCAGGAGCAGCTGGTGGCGGTAGGACTGGGTTGGGTCGGGATGAGAAGGGTCTTGGGGTTTGAGTGGACCTGGGCTTTGGCTTCCTGGAGGGCTGGGACCCAGAGGGCTCTGGGATCTCTGGCTGCTTTTCTGCCTCCGAGACCCCATTCCTGCCCTTCTCCTTCCCTGGATCTGCCTCCGAGACCCCATTCCTGCCCTTCTCTTTCCTGGGTCAGCTGCAAGCTCTCTTGCTGAGAACTGCCTGTCTTCCCGCGGACCCTCCGTGTTTCTCTGTCTGAATCTTTCCTTCCGTCATGCTCTCTGTCCCTGGGATGGTTTCTGTCTGTCTTCTTCTTCCAGTTTCCATTTTACCCTGCCTCCGTCTCCTTCATCTCCCTCTCTTGCTGTCTCTCTGTCTCTGGATTTCTTTGTCTCTTTCCTTTCTGTCTTGCTTTCTGCCTGTCTCATTCTGGCTCTCCCCTTGTCTCCCCTTCTCTGTCTCTGGGCTGGCCTGGCCTCTAATCCCTTTCTCCATCTCTTCCTCTCTCTCCATCCCCCTCTCAGTCGCTCTGCCCTTACCATCTGTCTCTGTCCATGGACCCCAGTTGACCTGGCCCTGAATCCGTTTTCTCCTTGCAGCCTGACCTCACGATGACCAGGTGGGCTCTGCTGGTGCTGATGGTCCTGATGTTGGGCAGAGTCCAGGTTGTCTCGGTGACCCCTATCCCAACCTTTCAGCTCCGCCCTCAGAACTCTCCCCAGACCACTCCCCGACCTGCGGCCTCAGAGAGCCCCTCAGCTGCTACCACATGCCCCTGGGCTGCCTGGAGCCACTGCAGCCCCACCCGGCACCCTGGCTCGCGCATCGTCCTATCGCTGGATGTTCCCATTGGCCTCTTGCAGATCTTACTGGAGCAAGCCAGGGCCAGGGCTGCCAGGGAGCAGGCTGCCACCAATGCCCACATCCTGGCCCGTGTCGGCCGCCGCTGAGCCTGAGGGAGGGGGTCACAGTGATGAGGCCACCCTGGATGGGAGGACCTGGGAGGCAGCCACACAGCTGGACAGATGCTGCCACATCTGGGCATACAGTGTCTGGACACTGCCACCTGGAGCCACTGCCATGCAGTGTCATATCACATCTGAGTGCCCCACAGAGACACAGTGTGTCTGGACAGCCTGGACATCGGACATTGCTATGTTGGGTCACTGCCACATGGAGGCTCGCCATGCTGGTGTGCCCCACAGACCTAAAACATGTCCGGACAGCTTGGATGCCACCATGTAAGGTCACTGCTGCGGCAAGTCTTGCTATGTCTGGGTGCCTCACAGTCACAGAGTATCTGGACCTTGCCACATGCGGTCACCATCACGTTGCTCTCAGGAACCTCAACACGAGAGCTCAACACTCCCTCCAAGACCAGTCCCTCTCAGGCCCACAGGTCTGTCCTCCCGTAGGCCACCACACGGGGAAATGCTGGCGGAGGGTCGCTTGCTTGCTCTGTGCCCCATGAGGCAGCACCTGCCCCAGATGGACGGGGCCGTGAAGGGTGACATGTGACCCTGTGACCATGGCAGCCTTGCCTTGTGGATGCATGTGCGCATGTGCGGCTGAATCTCTGACAGCTGTGAGTATGTGTGAGCAGGGTAAAGATGCGTGAGGGGTCTTGGAGGAGTGGGTGCTTGTCCCCCAAACCTGAATGAAGCAAGCACAACTCCCAGCCAGGCACTGTCTTCCCCACGTGCCCCTGAATCCCCAGCCTCAGCCCATGGACTTGCATGGTTCAGGGGAGACAGGGCTCAGGCTGCCGGTGCTCTGACCCAACTCCGTACCCCTTCACGCACGGATTGTCCTGGGCAAAGGTGTTCACCTTTCCGAGCCTCGGTTTCCTTATCTGTAAAGCAGAGCGGCACCGGCAAGCATGTGAGTATTATGTACTTAGCAGACATGGAGGTCCTGCAGCAGGAGGTCTCAATAAATGTAAAGCGATTGAAGGGTGGGATGTGTGAGGATCCCAGTCCTGTGCACACAGGCCATGACACGTAAGGGCTGAGTCACACCTGGCTTCTCTGCCTTCCTCCCCGACTCCCCATTTAAATGACCTGGTCCCTTGGTTTGGAAAGACTAGATTCTGCCTGATTTCACAGCCCAACTCCATTGCTGGGCCAGAGACAAAACTGACTTTCTGGGTGGCACGGATCTGCCTGCCTGCAGAGTGGGCAGGTAGTAGGTGGACATGAAGGCAGACGCTGGGTGTCATGGGCAGCTCTGGTGGGAGAGGGAGGCTGTACTGGCTAGAGTGTGGCTGGCTGACTGCAGTGGGGGCACTGGCGCTGCCCTCATAGTTGTAAGCAGCCCTGTGGGGGCGGGCCTAGGGCGGGCTGGGGAGGCGGGGCTGCAGGAGCCGCTGCTCTCTCTCCAGAGTGCTGGGCGGGGTGACCCCACTCTGGAGCTGCAGGGGGCAGTGGCCCTGGCCAGTTTGGTTGCAGGATGGACAGAGGCTCTTTAGGAGGCAGCTCCCTGATGGACCTGGGGCCAGGGAGCAGCAGGCAGGGTAGGCTCGGGACAGCGTGGGGAGTGTGGTGGGTCAGGGAAAGATCTGGATGAAGTCAGGGTGGTGCTGGAGGGGTGCCAGAAGGTTGGGGGGCTCTTCCTGGTATAGGGGTGCTCGGAGGGGGGCATTCATCTGTCAGTGGCCCGAAGGAGGGGGAAAACTATCGCCTTGCAAGGGAGGGGGCTGGGCCAATGGGGAACTATAAATAGTGTCTTCTTCCAGCCCAGGGGGAGGGACCGCCAGCTGGAGCTGCCCAGGCTCCAGCTCTGCTCTTTGCTGGCCTCCGAGGGATCGTGTTTGTCCAGGTCTCCTCTCAGGGGTCACACCAGTTTGGGGAAGTCTAGAGGCTCATTTGGAAAGGGTTTCACATGATGTCGCTTTAGCCCTTAAACCAGCATTTCTAGGGTGTCTGCTGTGTGCCTGCCAGTCTTGAGCTTCTCTGAACACCTGCTGTGTACTGAGTTTGGTCATAAACCTCTCAGAACCCTTTCTGTGTGCCCCCGCTGGTCCTGAATCCCTAAGCACCTACTGTACGCCCTGTGCCAGGCTGAAAGGAGGAAGTGCAGATCAGGGTTCCCAGGCTGCTTGGTGACATGGCTCTATGCCTCCAAGTCAGAACCTCATGCTCCCTGTGAGCCTTGAATCCAGGGAGACACAGGGGACAATCCTTCGCTGGAAATGGCCAGAGGAAACTGGAATTCCTAGAAACTCCTGAACCTCTCACTGGACAGCAGGGGTGGGGGTGGAGGGATATATGGGGAGGGAGGCAACAGAGCCCATCAGGCCCCACTGCAGCCTGCCCGTCTCCGCAGGCGCCGGGGCGCAGGGCTTGTGAGTGCGTGTGCGTCTGTGTGTGCATCTGCATGTGTGCTTGTGAGCTGTGCCAGTGTGTCTGTGCACATCAGTGTGTGGGCCTGTGTGGCACACACTGACACCTCGGGTCTTTATGCTGCAAAGGGTGGTTTGTGGGCCAGGTGTGGTGGCTCATGCCTGTGAACCCAGGGCTTTGGGAGGTCGAGGCAAGATGGCTTGAGGCCAGGAGTTCAAGGCTGCAGCAAGCCGTGATTGCACCACTGTGCTCCAGCTTGGGTGATGGAGTGAGACCCTGTCTCAAAACCAAAACAAGTGTGTGTGTGGGGGGGGGTCGGGGGTGTGTGTGGGGGGGGTGGGATGGTTTCGCAGTTCTGTCTGGACTGGCCAGTAGATACAGGGACTGGGAAGGGTGTGAGCTTTGAGGACTGGCCATCACATGGCTTCTAGGCTGGGACACTGGGAGGAAGTCCAGTGGTGAGTGCAGAGGGCACCATGGGAGCCAGCCAGGGTCAGGCCAGCCAGGGTCATGGTGGGCAGAGGCTGAGCAGAACATGTTGACACGTGTGCACAGACAACCCAGCATCCTTCCCACACCTGAGGCAGGACAGTGGCTCACTGAGGAGGGAAAAGCCATGAGGGCCAGGGATTCTACCAGGCATCCGCTGAGGCCGAGGGAGCAGAGCCAGGACAGCAGCTCCACGGAGAGGACACGGTGGGGCAGGTGGACTCTGTGATGACAGTGCAGTGTGGGAGGCGAGGTCTGGAAGGCTGGGAGTTGAGCTGAGTCCATGCTGCACTGTGAACTCGCTCTGTGCAGTGTGCCCTTCTTCCCCTTCCTGACCCTCAGTTTCCCACCTGAGAAACAGGGCCATGGAGAGGAGATGGAGAATATCCTCAGAGCAGATGTGGACCCTGGCCTTGGGGAGGAACCCCAGGCATCTCCTGATGTTGACCTGTGGCCTTCCAGCTGAACACAGGGACTTGAAGGAGGGTGCCTGGGTCAGCCCCGAGTAGACTTTTTGAGGAAGAGAGGGAGGTAAAGAGCTGTTGCATTTCCTGGGAAACAGGCTCATCCTGTCTGGGTGTGACGATGTCTTCCCGGAGATAGCCCTGGGCCCCTGCCCAGGCCCACTGTCTCTACCCCCTGTCCTTGAGTAGCATCCCAGGAGGTCTGGGAAGAGAAGAATTGACAGGCCGGAGGAGGCGCTAGGTGTCTGTAGATGTCAGAGGAGATGGCTTTTGCAATGTGTGCTGTGGGTTAGACAGGGTGTGGATATGTGGTAATGAGGTCTCAGAGGCCACAGTGGCCCCGGGATGGCCTTGGCAGTGGCCAGAAGACAAGAGGACTGGCTGTATCAGGAACAGAATGAGTGGCTTTGGAGAAGTAGGGAGCAGGTCATAAGGGGCACCCAGCTCATCAGGAGCCGCCCATGGATGTGCTCAGATCTTCTGGGCATGGGGTGGAGGAAGGAGTGGGTGGATGCTGCAAAAGGAGGATGAGGAAGGAGGAAGTCATTGACTCAGCCTGGGGCAGGGTGTTCCCAGGGCAAGAAGCTGGAGCTGGTTTGGGGGAGGGTCCAGGTGGGCTTCCAGCATGTGGACCTTCAGAATCTTCATTTCCCATGAAGTGGGCAAGATATCTGTGTCTATCATTTTTTTTTTTTTTTTTTTGAGATGGAGTTTTGCTTTTGTTGCCCAGGCTGGAGTGCAATAGCGCAATCTCGGCTCATTGCAACCTCTGCCTCCCACGTTCAAGTGATTCTCCGGCCGCAGCCTCCCAAGTAGCTGGGATTGTACAGGCATGCACCACCATGCCCAGCTAATTTTGTATTTATAGTAGAGTCGGGGTTTCTCCATGTTGGTCAGGCTGATCTGGAACTCCCAAACTCAGGTGATCCGCCCACCTTGGCCTCCCAAAGTGCTGGGATTACAGGCGTGAGCCATGTGTCAATCATCTTAAGGGACCTTGCCAAGCTTTAAAGAGCTGGGTGGACTTGGACTGACCCAAGGCAGGACTGTGGCAGAGAGGGCATGGGAGGGGGTGCAACACCTATAGTCCATGAGGCCAGACTTGTTTACCATGCCCTCAACACCTGGTTCCTGGCTGGGTACACATTGGACAGAGATCTTGAGGATGCAGGGCCCTTGCCAGAGGTGTTGTGGTTGACATCGCTAGAGGGCAGTGTGGCTCAGGTTCAAGCCGTTTTGGTGGGGGCTGGGGTAGACAGTGTACAAAGCTTGGAGAGTTGGGGCTGGGATCCCGAGGAGGCGGGAGCCTGCAGGAGTTGGGTAGAGTGACAAGAGTGACCCAGCGGTTTCCAAACTTCCAATCTCTCCCCTGTTCTTGTCCGCACTGCATTTTCAAAGACAAGAGGGAGATATAAATACAGTAAAAGACAACCTTAATGTATTTTAAAATGTATTTCTTAGAGATTGACATATTTGATTTATACTACAATACTCTAAGATTGACAATGTGTGCTGGGCACGGTGGCTCACGCCTGTAATCCCAGCACTTTGGGAGGCCGAGGCAGGCGGATCACGAGATCAGGAATTCAAGACCAGCCTGGCCAACATGGTGAAACCCCGTCTCCACTAAACATACAAAAATTAGCCGGCGTGGTGGCAGGCGCCTGTAATCCCAGCTACTTAGTAGGCTGAGGCAGGAGAATCACTCGAACCCCGGAGGCGGAGGTTGTTGTGAGCCGAGACCTTGCCATTGCACTCCAGCCTCGGCGACAGGGTGAGCCTCCGTCTCAAAAAAAAAAAAAAAAAAAGGCTGACAATGTGCACATCCCACTGTCCTGATAAAGAGAAAATACTGACGTATTATTTTCAAAAAATATGTAAAAATTTAGTTGGGGAAAAAAAGAAAATACTAAAAAACAATTTTTTTTTTTTTTTTTTTTGAGACGGAGTTTTGCTCTTGTTACCCAGGCTGGAGTGCAATGGCGCGATCTCGACTCACCGCAACCTCCGCCTCCTGGGTTCAGGCAATTCTCCTGCCTCAGCCTCACGAGTAGCTGGGATTACAGGCACGTGCCACCATGCCCAGCTAATTTTTTGTATTTTTTTTTTAGTAGAGACGGGTTTCACCATGTTGACCAGGATGGTCTCGATCTGTCCACCTCGTGATCCACCCGCCTCGGGCTCCCAAGGTGCTGGGATTACAGGCTTGAGCCACCGCGCCCGGCCAACAAAAAAATTGTAATTGCTAAAAATGAAATTCTGGAAAGACAATTAAGATATTGCCAGGGCTTAGTGAGTCCTCAAAATACTTGGTTACAAAGTTCCACGCATTTGCTCCCGGTGAGCTGGAGTTTAGCCCGAGCGCCCCAGCAGCCAAGGCAAAGAGAGAAAGAGGAACAATATTGAAATGTGTTTTGCGTCTCTATCCATGAGATAAAGGAGTTTTCCAGCGTGGTTGAGCACACTGGAAAAGGAGAGTTCCGGGGCTCGGAGCAGTCAAGGGGGTGTCCCCGAGCAGGGGCAGGAGGGCGCAGGGAATTGACGGCTGGTACAGCAGGCCTAGTGGCCCCTGCCTGCTCTGACCAACCTGGCCATGCGGGTCACGTAGGCCTCGTCCCACTGCACACAAACCCCTCTCTCCTGGGGGCCCTGGGCTCCCTAGCATA